GGCTATCCAGCTGCTGTTTTTCAAGATGTTATTTTTTAAACAGCTGAGTAATAGTCCATTTTGTAGCACATTTACTTTATTCTTCTGTTGAGGGACATCTAGGTTGTTTCCAATTTCTGGCGGTCATGAAGAGCAGTAATGAATATGGTTTAACATGTTTTCTTGTGGTAGGATGAAATGTCATTTGAATATTTTCCCAAAAGCAGTAATTCTCTATTAAGAATTCTGTTTAGATTTGTACCCCATTTTTTTTTTTTTTTTTAGGTTTTTTGAGACAGGGTTTCTCTGTGTAGCTTTGCGCCTTTCCTGGATCTCGCTCTGTAGACCAGGCTGGCCTCGAACTTATAGAGATCCGCCTGCCTCTGCCTCCCGAGTGCTGGGATTAAAGGCGTGTGCCACCACTGCCCGGCTGTACCCCATTTTTAATCGGGTTATTTGGTTACTTGATATCTAGTTTTGAGTTTTTTCCATATTTTGGATTGTAGTGATATTGTGTCCCCCAATATATTGTGAACCCTAATAAACTTATCTGGAGTCAGAGAACAGAACAGCCACTAGATAGACATAGAGGCCAGAAAATGGTGGCACACACACCTTTAATCCTAGCATTCTGGAGGCATCCATCCAGATCTCTGTGATTTTAAGGCCACACTGGAAACAGACAGGCATGGTGACACATGCCTTTAATCCTAGGAAGTGATGGCAGGAAGCATAAAGGTATATAGGGCGTGAAAACCAGTGACTAGAACCCTTTCAGTTTTTAGGCTTTCAGCTGCAGTTCAGCTGAGATCCATTCGGGTGAGGACTCAGAGGCTTCCAGTTTGAGGAAACAGGATGGGCTGAGAAGTTGGCAAGGTGAAGTTAGCTGTAGCTTGTTCTGCTTCTCTGATCTTTCAGTGTTCATTCCAATATCTGGCTCCCAAGTTTTTTATTAATAAGACTCGTTAAGATTTGTGCTGCATTGGATATTAATCTTCTACTAGATGTGGAGTTGGTATAACCTTTTTCCATTCTGTAGGCAGTCACTTTGTAGGAATGATGGTGTCCTTTTCAGTTTCATGAGTTCCCATTTATTAATTGTCGAATTTTGTGCCCATGCTAACAGTGTTCTGTTCAGGAAGTCATCTCCTGTGTCTATGAGTCAAGACTATTCCCTACTTTCTCTTCTATAAGGTTCAGTGTATCTGGCTTTATGTTGAGGTCTTTCATCTATTTGGAGTTGTTTTGTGAAGGTTGTAGGTATGAATCTATTTTTCATTCTTCCCCATGCAGACATCCTATTTTACCAGAACCATGTGTTGAAGATGCTTTTTTTTTCCAAAGTGTATTTCTGGCTTCTTTATAAAAATCAGGTGCCAAAAGAGTGTGGATTTGTGCCTGGTTCTTCAATCCTATTCCATGCATCAATGTGTCTTTTTTATGCTACTACTATATAGTTTTTGTTAATATAGCTTTCCAGTACAACTTGAAATCAGGAATAGTGAGATCTCCAGCAGCTCTTCTATTGTTCAGGATTGTTTTAGCTATCCTAGATTTTTTCATTTTTGATATGAAGCTAAAAATTGTTTTTCCAAGTTCTGTGAAGAATTGTGTTGAAATTTTGATGGGGATTACATTGAATCTGTATTGCTTTTGGTCAGATGGCCATTTTTACTATGTTACTCCTACTGATGCATGAGCATGGGAGATCTTTGCATCTTCTAATATTTTCTTCAATTTTTTTTCAAAGACTTGAAGTTTTCATCATATAAATCCTTTACTTTCTTGAGTTACCCCAAGATATTTTATATTATTAGTGGCAATTGGAATAGGTGTGTTTCTTTGAATTTTTTCTCAGTCTGTCACTTGTATATGGGAGGGCTACTGATTTTTATGAGTTTATTTTTGTATCCAGTTACTTTGCTGAAAGGTTTATCAGGTGTATGAGTTCCCTGGTGGAATTTTTAGGTTCACTTATGTATACTATCATACAATCTGCAAATAAAGATTCTTTGACTTCTCCCTTTGCATGTTTGCATCCCTTTGGTTTTCTTTAGTTGTCTTATTGTTCTAGTTAAGAGTTCAAGTAGAATATTGAATAGGTCTGGAGAGAATGGACAACCTTGCCTTGTGATTTTAGTGGAATTGTTTTGAGTTTCTCTCCATTTATGTTGATGTTGGCTACAGGCTTGCTGTAAACTGCCTTTATTATGTTGAGTATGTCCCCTATGTCCCTAAACTCTCCTGGACTTTAATCATGAAGAGGTGTTGGATTCTGTTAAAGGTCTTTGCTCCATCTACTGAGATGATGTTGTGTTGTTTTTTCCTTCAGTTTGTTTATATGGTGGATTACATATATTCATTTTCACATGTTGTCCCATCCCTGTATCTCTCAGATGAAGCCTCCTTGATCATGGCGGATGATCTATATGATGTATTCCTGGATTTGGTTTGCAAGTATTTTATTGAGTATTTTTGTATCTAAGTTCATAAGGGAAAGTGGTCTGTAATTCTCTTTCTCTGTTGAGTATTCATGTGGTTTTGGTATCAGGAAAACTGTGTCCTCATAAAATGAATTGGGCAATGTTCCTTTTATTTCTATTTTGTGGAATAATTTGCAGAGTATGGGCATTTTTGAATGTCTGTTGAATTCTGCACTGAAAACATCTGGTCCTAGGCTATTTTTAGTGGGGAGACTTTTAATGACTGTTTCTAATTCACTAGGAGTTATAGGTCAATTTAAATTGCTTGCCTGATCTTCATTTTACTTTTTGTTTGTTTTTTTTTTTTTTGGTTTTTCGAGACAGGGTTTCTCTGTGTAGCTTTGTGCCTTTCCTGGAACTCACTTGGTAGTCCAGGCTGGCCTCGAACTCACAGAGATCCGCCTGGCTCTGCCTCCCGAGTGCTGGGATTAAAGGCGTGCGCCACCACCGCCCGGCTCATTTTACTTTTGTAAGTGGTACCTATTCAGAAAAGTATCCATTTCTTTTAGATTTTTCCAATTTAGTGGAGTACAGGTTTTTAAACTATGTCCTCATGATTCTATGGATTTCCTCTGTGTCTGTTGTTATGCCTTCCTTTTCATTTCAAATTTTGTTACTTTGGACTTTTTCTCTCTGACTTTAAGTTAATTTGGATGAGGGTTTATCTATCATATTTATTTTCTCAAAGAATCAATTACTCTTTTTGTTTCTACTTTGATTTCAGACTTGGGTTTGATTATTTCTTGCCATTCACTCCTTTGTGTGTGATTTCTTCTTTTTGTTCTAGCATTTCAGTTGTTCTGTTATACTGCTATTATAAGATCACTTCAGTTTTTTTAATTAATTTTTTATGTAGGTACTTGGTGCTATAGATTTGCCTCTTAAAACCTCTAGGTTTGCTCTTTTCTGAAGGGAAACAGAGTAGTAGTGTATCTGGGTGAAAGAGATGAGGGGATTATGAGGAGGGGATGGAGTAGAGCATGAAGACAGGATCTATTTTATGAGAGAATAAACTAAAAAGAAAAACCCCTCTTTCATTGTGTCCCACAATTTTGGCCATGTTGTGTATTTATTTTTATTTAATTCTGAAAAATTTTTGTGGTTGTTTTAATGAAAATGCCCTATATAGCCTCATAGTGAGTTACATTATAAATTGATCTGGCCTGGTAGGAGTAGGTATGGCCCTTTTGGAAGAAGTGTGTCAATGGGCTTTGAGGTTTCAGAAGTGCAAGCCAAGCCCAGTGTCTATCTCTCTCTTCCTGCTGCCTGCCAAACCACATGTAGAACTCTCAGCTACCTCTCCAATACCTTGTCTGCCTGTGTGCCACCATGCTTACTGCCATGATGATAATCAACTAAACCTCTGAACTGTAAGCCAGCCCCACTTAAATGTTTTTATTTAACAAGAGTTGCCATGGTCATGGTGTCTCTTTACAGCAATAGAAAATCTAATATAGTCTGTCTTTATTTCTGTCTCGACCCATTTTTCATTTGGTAGAGAGTTGTTCAGTTTCCATGAGTTTGTAAGCTTTCTGTTGATATCAACCTCTATTCTGTGGTGGCTTAATAGGATGCAGTGAGCTGTTTCAATTTTCTTGTATCTGTTGAGACTTGCTTTGTGTCCAAGTATGTGGTCAGTTTTGGAGAAAGTTCAATGAGGTGCAGAGAAGAAATATTCTTTTTAGTTTGAGTGAAATGTTCTATAAACATGTTTGGTCTATTTAGTTTATAAGATTTGTTAGCTCAAGTATTTCCCTGTTTAGTTTTTGTCTGGATGACCTGCATATTGGTATGAGTGGGGTATTGAAGTTCCCCACTGTCACTGTGTGAGGGTCAATGTATGATATAAGCTGTAGTGGTGTTGCTTTTTACAAACTTTGGTGTCCCTGTGTTTGGGGCATAGTTGTTAAGAACTGAAATATTATCTTGGTGGATTTTTTTCTTTGATGAGTATGTAGTGTCCTTTCTCATCTCTTTTAATTAGTTTTGGTTTGAAGTCTGTTTTGTTAGGTATTAAAATGGCTACACCACCTTGCTTCTTAGGTTCATTTGCTTGGAATATCTTTTTTTAAACCTTTACCCTGAGGTAATGCCTCTCCTTGATTTTGAGGCATGTTTCTTGGATGCAAGAGGATAGATCCTGTTTTCATATCCATTCTGTCTATGTCTTTCTGTTGGGCGATTGAGATCATAGCTTTTGAGATATCAATGACCAATGACTGTTGATTTCTGTTGTGTTGTTGCTGTTGTGGTGGTGGTGGTATTGGTGGTGATGGTGATGGTAATGGTGATGGTGTGTGTGTGTGTGTGTGTGTGTGTGTGTGTGTGTGTGTGTGTGTGTGTGTATTTTACCTTCTTTTAATCTTGCTGGTGTGAGATTATTCCCTGTGTTTTCATGGGTGTAGTTAACCTCCTTAGGTTGCAATTTTCCTTCTAGAACCTTCTGCAGGACTAAATAAGTAGATATATACTGATTAAAATTGGCCTTTATCTTAGTTAGGGTTTCTATTGCTGTGAAGAGACACCATGATCCGGCAACTCTTATAAAGGAAAACATTTTATTGGGTTGGATTGTTTATATTTTCAGAGGTTTAGTCCATTATCATCACAGTGCGAAATGGCAGAATGCAGGCAGACATGTTGCTGGAAAAGTGGCTGAGAATCTACATCTTGCAAGCAAGCAACAGGAAGTGATCTGAAACACTGGGCAATATCTTGAGCATATATGAGACCTCAAACACTGCCTCCACATGATATACTTCCTCCAACAAGACCACACCTACTCCACCAAGGCCACATCTCCTTCTAGTGCCACTCCCTTTGGGACCATTCTCTTTCAAACCACCACAGCTTTATCTATGGTGATTGAAAATTTTGCTGGGTATAGTACTCTGGGCTGGCATCTGTGCTGTGGTGTCTTAGAGTCTGTAGAATATCTGTCCAGGCTACTCTGGCTTTTAGAGTGTCCATGGATAAGTCAGATGTAATTCTAATTGGTCTGCCTTTATATGTCACTTGGTCTTTTTCCCTTGTAACTTTTAATATTTTTTCATTGTTCTATATATTTAGTATTCTGATTATGTGCTGAAGGGAACTTTCTTTTCTGGTCCCACCTGTTTAGTGCTTTGTATGCTTCTTGTACTTTTATTCACACCTCCTTTTTTAGGTTAAGAAAATTTTATTCTACAGTCTTGTTGAAAATATTTTCTGGGCATTTGAGCTATGTTTCTTTTCTTTCCTCTATTCCTATTATTCTTAGATTTAGTCTTTTCATAGTGTCCCATATTTCCTGGATATTTTGTGCCAGAAGTTTTTTAGAGTTAACATTTTCTTTACTAATGTATCAGTTTCTTCTATCATATCATCAACATCTGATAATCTCTCATCCATCTCTTGTATTCTGTTGGTTCCTGTTCAAATTTCTGAGTTTTTCATTTACAGAATTCCCTCAGTTGGGTTTTGTTGTTGTTGTTGATTCTATTTCCATTTTCAGGTCTTGAACTGCCTTATTCATTTCCTTCTTCTGTTTCTTTGTGCTTTACTGTATTTATTTAAGAAACTTATTCATTTCCTTCTACTGTTTGCTTGTATTTTCATCAATTTCTTTAAGAGATTTATTAATTTCCTCATTAAGAACCTCTATCATCTTCATACTGACTGTTTTAAGGTCTTTTTCTAGTGCTTTCAGCTAAATTGGAATATTCAGGGTCTGCTTTGGTATGTTGTGGAACAATCTTTGTAAATATCTATTGCTCTCATTGTTAATATAAAGCTGATTGATAGATGGCAAGGCAGGATTTTCAGGGCAGAGAGAATGCTGGAAATGAGGGCAGAGTCTAACAGGTCTCCAGGATATACAGAGGAAATAAGACATACTGGAGAACAGGTAAAGCCATGAGCCATGTGGCAATACCTATGTATTAACAGAAATGGGTTAATTTAAGTTGTAAGAATTAGTAATAAGAATTAGCTATTGACCAAGCATGTATAATTTGCATTAATTCTAAGTGTCAGTTATTTGGTAACTTTCCTGGTGGGCAGGAAAGAAAAGTCTGCCTACAGTGGTTTGGTTTCAGGGCTTTGTTTCCCTAGACTGTTCACCTGGTGTTTTCCAGATGAATGCCTGCTGGCATTGGAGCTTGAAATAATGGGATCAGTTGAGGAAAGGAAGGTTGTAGGAGAAGATCTTTGTGGTCCACTGGGGATGGGGTCAGAGAAGAAAGGGAGACTGCAGCAGGTGTTCTTCAACAGAGCTGGGGTTGAGACTGGGTGGACTGAATCTGGTGGAGCAGAAGAAGAGGTGAAGCTGCCCATTCATATTTTTCAAAATCACCTGACCAATATGCTCCCATCCACAGATCTTTTAGACAATGGATAGAGGAAGCGGGATTGAATCTGCTCTTTTTCAGGCTCTGCTCATGCCAAACACTCTTGGCTCTCTTCTGTGAAATCCAGGTTGCTGACCTGGTAAGAAGCTTTACCTCCAAGGCTGCCTTCCCAGAGGTTGATGATCAGTGGTAAAGGCACCATGGTGCAGAAGGTACATGAGGAAAGTCTTGCCTGTGTCTCAGTCTCTCACTCAGTGACATAGATGTTGAACTCAAAGTCATTCTGAGCCTTGCGAAGCATGAGATCTCTGCAGAGATCATCCCAGCCTCCTTGGAGTCTGTTCATGGGTCTTTGGGCATGCCCCCTTCTTCTGGCTTGGTGGACAGATTTCATTCTGATTCACCTTCTTACCTGTGAATCAGATGTGAGCTTCTAGATCAATAAGTGTGTTGAGGGTTATTGTGATCTCTTGGGGCCAGGTTGCAATCTTAAGATGAGCTTCTATGAAAAAAAAGACTTCTGTGAAGAGATCAACATGCCCTAACAGCAGCATTTGACTATGCTGGAACCTGTAATTTATCAGGTACTGTAAAACATGGGTAAGCCTCTTCCTGGGTGATTCTGGATGTCCAGGTTCCAGGCCATGAACCTAAACAGCCAGCTGTGTAACCAGAATCTGCTTCCTTTAGCACACTGTGTGGTGATATTTTGTGTATGCTCTAACAAATAAAGTTTGCCTGAAGACCAGAGGGCAAAGCCAGCAACTAGTTAGTCATAGAGGACAGGCAATGGTGGCATACACCTTTGATCCCAGCCCTTGGGATCTCAGGCCTTTAATTCTAGCACTAGGGAGATGGAGACAGGAACTGATATGGCTGGTGGATTGAGGAATATAAGGCAGGAGGAGATAGGAACCCAGTCTCCTTTCAGGCTGAGGATTTTGAAGAAGTAGGAAGTCTAGTGGCTGGCTGCTCTGCTTTCTTATCTTTCAGCTTTCTTTTTGATATCTGACTCTGGGTTTTTATTATTAAGACCAGTTAGATTTGTGCTACAACACTGGGTTTCCTTGCTAAGCTGTGGGCTACTCTCCCAGGTTTCAGAGGCATTATATAGGTAGCCCATCTATATCAAAGGCATCTAAAATTGGCTCTCTCAAGACACTTGCTTTGCTCACCCAGTGAGGAGGACCTCTCAGTGGGTACCAATCCCACAGTGTCTAGGACCTGTTGAGGATACATAGGACTCTTCCAGGAATGGCTTTGGTCTGGTGGACCTGATTCAAAGCCTGTGTGGAATAAAGACACTGTGGCAGGTCCCTTCAGTACTGTAGCAGGGTGAGGGCCTCTGTCACTTTTATCTAAGGACTGGAGATCTGGAAGACACCCCAGGGACCAAGCCCAGCTTCTGAAGGAGCAAGACTGAAATTGGCTATCTTAGGCTCCCCAGCTACCCAGTGAAGTTCTGAGGTGTCTCCAGAGGAACATTACCTACTATTGGTCTCCAGGACTCCGGTATACTACAGGGGGGTGTTCAGGGATGATATACTCCTCTTAGAGACTTCCACACCTCCTGCCCTAGGTGTTGGAGATATTCTGGGGGAGTGCTTTTAAGCCTATCTGTATCTATGGCTGGATACTCTCAAAATATCAAATGTGCCTTCAAGATGGAGATCTGGGTACTAGAAAGAGGGCTCAGTAGCTAAGTGTGCTTGCTGTTCTTTCAGAGAACTGGATCTCAGTTCTAAGTAGCTATATAGGATGGGTCACAATTGTCTATCACAATAGCTCCAGGGAATTTGACATGCTATTTTGTACTCTGTGAGCATACTCATGGATATAGAAATAATAACAAAAAAGACATTTATACAGGATTATTGGCATTATATTATTATGATGCTAAAACATACATAAACATAATTAAAAGTTGTAAGCTATTAAAAGCACTTAAAACTAAAAAACAAAACAACAAAAAGCAAAGAAGCTGTCTTTAAAAAATTGGCAATCAGAGTCCTGCCTCTAGGACCCAGGTGCTGGGATACAACCAGTCCCTGGAAACCCCCATCCATCTCTGCCCCAGTTGCAGGCCAACAGGGAAAATTCCTCTGGGCAGGCTCCCCCACCAGAATCCCCATCAGACCCAGCAATCTACAAGACCCATGCTCTAACTCAATACCCAACCCCCTGTGACACCAGTATCTTTCTGAGACACAGAATATGCCATCTGTCATTGGACCAAGAGGTGAGTGACTCTTCTCTAACCCAGAGAGTCCTGCTTTGAGGACCTAGGCCTTGGGACACAACCAGTCTCCAGGAACCCCCACCCATCTCTGCTCCAGTTGATGGCCAGCAGGGAAGACTCCTGTAGGCAGGCTTCCCTACCAACCCCCCATTGGACCCAGCAATTTACAAGACCCACACCCTACCCCAATACCCATACTCCTGCAACACTAGTGCCTTCCTGAGGCACAGAATCTGCCAGCTCTCACTGGACAAAGAGCCAAGAGTAGCTCCCTGAGCCACAGAATCAGCTAGCTTGGATTCGACCAAGAGCAGCTCCCTGAGATACAGAATCTGCCAGCTCTAATTAGACCAAGAGCTAAGATTGGACACAGAGGGGCCCTGTGAGACATAAGACACAGCAAACACAGATTGGACTAATAGCAGCTTGCTCAGAAACAGGCAACTCTTGTACCTACTGGAGGAAGAGATGGGTAGATGCCAGTGCAAAAACACATACCACAACATAAAGAGCAATATGGCATCACCAGATCTAGGCCTTTTATAACAGCAGGACCTGAGCATCACAATGTAGAAGCAGAAGAAAGCAACCTTAAAAATAACTTCATGAATAAGCTAGAGGTCTTTAAATTGAAAAATTCCTTTAAAAGAATTAAGGACAAGAAAAACAAAAAATTGGAAGAAATCAATACATCCCTTAAAGAAAGCCTAGAAAACCATGAAAAAGCAATTAAACAAGGTGAAAGCAACAGTTCAAGACCTGAAAAGGGAAATAGAAGCAATAAGAAGACACAGAGAGAATGCTGAAAATAAAAAATCTGAGTAAACAAACAGGAACTACCAATGCAAGCATAACCAGCAGAATACAAGAGATGGAGGACAGAATCTCTGGTGTAGAGGATACAATAGAGGAAATAGATTTGTCAGTCAAAGAAAACACTAAACCCAAAAAAGTCTTAACACAAAATGTCTAGGAAATCTGGGACACCATGAAAAGGCCAAACCTAAGAACAATAGGGATAGAAGAAGGAGAAGAATACCAACTCAAAGGCACAGAAAATATATCTAACAAAATCATGGAAGAAAACTTTTTCCAACTTAAAGAAGGAAATACTTATGAAGATACAAGAAGCTTATAGAACACCAAATATACTAGACCCCCCAAAAAGCCCTCTTACCACATATTAAACCACTAAACATACAGAATAAAGAAAGAATATTAAAAACAGCAAAGGAAAAAGGCCAAATGACTTATAAAGGCAGACCCATCAGTATAACACTTGACTTCTCAATGGTAGACTTTGAAAGCCAGAAGTACCTGGTCAGATGTAATGCAGACACTAAGAGACCATGGATGTCAGCCTATACTAATATACCCAGCAAAAATTTCAATCACCATAGACAGAGTGAACAAGACATTCCAAGACAAAACTAGATTTAAACAATACCTATCCACAAATCCAGCCCTACAGAAAGCACTAGAAGGAAAATTCCAACCTAAGGAAGTCAGATACACCCATGAAAACACAGGCAATAGATAACACCACAGCAGTAAATCCCAAAGAAGGGAAATACAAACACACTACGACCAAAAGATAACAGAAATTAACAATCACTGGTCATTGATATCCCTTAATGTCAATGGATTCAATTTACCTATAAAAAGACACAGGCCAGAATGGATACCAAATCAGTATCCATCTTTCTGCTGAATATAAGTAACATACCTCATCTTCAAAGACAGACACTACCTCAGAGTAAAAGTCTGGTAAAAGACTTTCCAAACAAACAGATTTAAGAAGCAAGCTGATGTAGTTATCCTAATATCTAACAAAATAGACTTCAAACTAAAATCAATCTAAAGAGGTCAGGAAAAAACGTTATATACTCATCACAGGAAAGATCCACCAACATGAAGTTTCAATTCTGAACATTTATGCCCCAAATACAAGGGCACCCACATTTGTAAAAGAAACAACACTAAAGCTTAAATCACACATCAAAACCCACACATTAATAGTTGGAGACTTCAACACCCCACTCTCACCACTGGACAGATCTGCCAGACAGAAACTTACCAGAGAAATAAGGGAACTAACAGATACAATGACTCAAATGGACTTAATCGACATCTACAGAACATTCCACCCTAACACAAAAAATATACCTTCTTCTCAGCACCCCAAAAAACCATCTCTAATATCAACCACATACTCTGTCTCAAAGCAAATCTCAACAGTTACAAAAAATTGGAATAACTTCCTGTATTCTATGGGACCACTATGGCTTAAGACTAGATTTCAACAACAAAAATTGCAGAAAGGCTACAATCTCATGGAAACTGAATAATGCCAACTGAATCACCAATTGGTCAAGGAAGAAATAAGAAAGTAAAGACTTCCTAGAATTCAATGAATATGAATGTACAACATACCCAAATTTATGGGACACCATGAAAGCAGTGCTAAGAGAAAAATTCATAGCACTAAATGCCCACAAAAAAAGTTGGAGAAATATCACACTAGTGACTTAACAGCACACCTAAAAGCTCTAGAACAACAAGAAGCAAACTCATCCAGGAGGAATAGACATTTGAGGGTTGAAATCAATAAAAATAGAAACAAAGAGAATAATACAAAGAATCAATGAAACAGAGTTGGTTCTTTGAGAAAATCAATAAGATAGACAAGCCCTTATCCAAATTAACCAAAAGGTACAGAGAGAGTATCCAAATAAACAAAATCAGAAATGAAAAGGGAGACATAACAACAGACAGTGAGGAAATCCAGAGAATCATCAGGTCATACTTCAAAAACCTGACTTCACAAAATTAGAAAATCTAAAGGAAATGGATAATTTTCTGGATAGGTACCACATACAAAAGTTAAATCAAGATCAGATAAACAATTTAAATAGACCAATAACCCCTAAGGAAATAGAAACAGTCATTAAAAGTCTCCCAACCAAAAAATCCCAGGACCAGATGGCTTCAAAGCAGAATTCTACCAGTTATTCAAAGAAGAGCTAATACCAATACTCTTCAAATTGTTCCACACAATAGAAACAGAAGGAACATTACCAACCTCCTTTTATGATTTACTCTGATTCCCTAACCACACAAAGATGCAACAAAGAAAGAGAATTACAGACCAATCTCTCTCATGAACATTGATGCAAAAAATACTCAATAAAATATTGGCAAACTGGATCCACGAACACATCAAAAAAATTATCCATGATCAAGTAGGCTTCATCCCAGAGATGCAAGGATGTTTCAACTTATGAAAATCTGTCAATGTAATACACTATATAAACAAACTGAAAGAAAAAAACCTACATGATCATTTCATTAGATGCTGAAAAGGCCTTTGACAAGATCCAATACCCCTTCATGATAAAGGCCTTGGAGAGAGCAGTAATATAAATAACATACCTAAACACAATAAAGAGAATTTACAGCAAGCCAACAGCCAACATCAAATTAAATGGAGAGGAACTCAAAGCAACTCCACTAAACTCAGGAACAAGACAAGACTCTCCACTCTCCCCACATTTATTCAATATAGTACTTGAAGTTCTAGCTAGAGCAATAAGACAACAAATCGAGATCAAGGAGATACAAACTGGAAAGGAAGAGGTCAAACTTTCACCATTTGCAGATGATAAGATAGTATATATAAGTGACCCCAAAAATTCTACCAGGGTACTCCTACAGATAATAAACTTCTGTAATGTGGCAGGAAATAAAATTAACTCAAAAATCAGTAGCCCTCCTATATACAAATGACAAATAGACTGAGAAAGAAATCATAGAATCATCATCCTTTACAATAGACACAAATAATATAAAATACCTTGGGTTAACTCTAAGCAAGTGGGAAAAGTGTATGGCAAAAGCTTTAAGTCTCTGAAGAAAGAAATTGAAGAGTGTATCAGAAGATGGAAAGATCTCCCATGCTCATGGATAGGTAGGATCAACAAAGTAAAAATGGCAATCTTACCAAAAGCAATCTATAGATTCAGTGAAATCCCCATCAAAATCCCAACACAATTCTTCACAGACCTGGAAAGAACAATACTCAAGTTCATTTGAAAAAACAGAAAACCCAGGATAGTTAAAATAATCCTGTACAATAAAGCCACCTTTGAAGGCATCACGATACCTGACCTCAAGCTCTACTATAGAGCTATTGTAATTAAAACAGCTTGGTATTGGCATAAAAACCGGTATGTAGACCAATGGAATCTAACTGAAGACCCTGACATTAATCCAAACACCTATAAACACCTGATTTTTGACAAAGAAGCCAAAACTGTACAATGGAAAAAAGAAAGCATCTTCAACAAATGGTGCTGGCAAACCTGGATGTGGACATGTAGAAGAATGTAAATAGATCAATATCTATCCCCATGCAAAAAACTCAAGTCCAAACGGATCAAAGACCTCAACATAAATCCAGTTACACTGAACCTGATAGAAGAGAAAGTAGGAAGTAGCCTTGAATGTATTGGCACAGGAGACCACTTCTTAAATATAACACCAGTAGCACAGACACGGAGAGCAACAACTAATAAAGGGACCTCTGGAAACTGAGAAGCTTCTGTAAAGCAAAGGACACAGTAAATAAGACAAAATGACAGCTTACAAAATGGGAAAACATCTTCACCAACCCTACATGTGACAGAGGACTAATTTCCAAAATATATAAAGAGCTCAAGAAACTAGACATCAAAATAATGGACAATCTTAAAAAAAAATGGGCTACAGAGCTAAACAGAGAATTCTCAAAGGAAGAATCTCAAATGGCTGAAAAACATTTAAGAAATTGCTAAACATCCTTAGACATCAGAGATATGCAAATAAAAACGACTCTGAGATACCATCTTACACCTGTCAGAATGGCTATGATCAAAAACAATGAAGACAGAACTCTTTTTATTCTCTGAAAAATCAAAGATGACTTCCTCCTCCTTTGAGATGTGAGGAGATAAGTTTGGAAAAGTTTGGAACAGGTATGAGTACAGGTGAATTAACCAGAGAGATGTGAGTTCCCAAGACAACATTAAAAGTATTCTACTACATAAGCTATCAGGAGACAAATTGCTCCTTAGCTTTCACTTTAGAGATACCTGGATGGAGTTGACAATGTCGCCTATATGCTCAGATATTTGAACACTTGGCACCCAGTTGATGGTGCTGTTGTGGGAGGCTTGGATGGTGGGCCTTGTTGGCGGAAGTATGTCACTAGGGAAGCGATTAGAGATTAAAAGCTCAACACTTCCAGTTAACTCTCTTTGCTTCATGTTTTCAGTTGAGGCTGTGAGCTCTCAGCTTCCTGTTCTTGCTGTCATGCCTCCCTGCCAAGATGGGCCCCTAACCCTCTGGAACTACAAGTCAAAATAAACTCTTCCTTCTATAAAACAAACAAAAACAATTAAAGACAGCTTATGTTGGAGAGGATGTGGAGCATCAGGAACACTCCTCCACTGTTGGTGGGAGTGCAAATTTATACAGCCACTCTGGAAACCAGTATGGCGGTTTCTCAGAAATTTGGGAATCAATCTTCATCAAAACCCAGCTATACTACTCTTCGGCATATACTCAAGGAATGCTCAATCATACCACAAGGACCCATGCTCAACTATGTTTATAGCAGCATTATTTGTAATAGCCAGAATATAGAAACAGCCTAGATGCCCCTGAACTGAAAAATGGATTAAGAAAAAGTGGTACATATACACAATGGAGTACTACTCAGCAGAGAAAAACTATGACATCATGAAATTTGTAGGCAAATGGATGAAACTAGAAAATATCATCCCGAGTGAGGTAACCCAGACTCAGAAGGACAAACATAGTATATACTGACTCATAAGTGGATTCTAGATGTAAAACAAAGGATAACCACACTCCAACCCACAACTCCAGAGAAGCTAGCTAACAAGGAAGACCATAGAGGGACACATGGATCGCCCTGGGAAAAGGAAATAGATGAGAACTCCTTGAGTAAAATGGGGATGAGGGATGGACAATGGAGGATAGGGGATAGAGGATGAGAACATAAGAAAATGGGATGGTTGAGCAGGAACAGGGATGGAGTGGGAAAGCAATGAAAGAGATACCATGATAGAGGGAGACATTATGGGGATAGAGAGAAATCAGGTGCTAGGGAAGTTCTCAGGAATCCCCAAGGATGACCCCAGCTTGGACTATTAGAAATAGTGGAGAGGGTGCCTGAACTGAACTGGCTTACCCCAGTGACCAGATCGGTGAATACCCCAACTGTCATCACAGAGCTTTTCTCCAGTGACTGATGGAAGCAGATGCAGAAATGCACAGTCAAACACCAGGCAGAGCTCCAGGAGTCCAGTCAAAGAGAGATAAGAAGGATTTTATGAGCAAGTGCATCAAGATCATGATGGGGAAACCTGCAGAGATGACCAAACCAAACTGGTGGGAACTCGTGAAAGTTGGATCAATGGCTGTGGAGCCTGCATGGGACTGGGCTAGGCCCCCTTCATGACAAGACAGTTTATGCAGCCTGATCTGTTTGGGGAGGCCCCCTGGCAGTAGGATCAGAATCCATCCCTGGTGCGTGAGCTGGCTTTTGGGAGCTCACTACCTATTATGGGACACCTCTAGCAGACTTAGGCAGGGGGAAGGGGCTTGGACTTGCTTCTACTGGATGTGTTTCCTCATGGGAGGCCTTGCCTTCTTGCGGGGAGAAGTAGGGGTTGGTTATGAGGGGGAGGCTGGGGGGGGGGGAGAAGGAGGGAAGAGGTAGATCTTTGATTGGTGTATAAAATGAATGGAAAATTTTTCTTAATAAAAAAAAGGAGTTGGCAATCTGCTCCAATAGGCAAGGCATTTAGGAACCTGAGACTGATTAAGGAGAGCTGTATTGATCTATACAGGCAGCTTCTGAAGCTGCTCAAAGGCTGGTCCCACTGACTGTTGTCCATAAACAGCCAGGTAGCAGGATGTGTCCTGGGGTGTGACAGAGCCTGTAGGTCTGGTTCCTTCTCCTTGATTCTGGCAACCCTAGGAAGGAAGAGAGGAAGTAAAAATCAGAGCAGGGAAAGCCGATGTTATTCACCTTCCAACTGTACAGCAGATCTCCCCACGAGAAGGTGTAATGGGTCATCATTTTTATCTGTCATGTGGACCCCAATGCTTATTTTCTCACACCATGTGTTTCTGTGTGTCTGTGTGCTTGTACGCTTGTGATTATTATAGTCATGTGTCTTCATCACCAGCCTTTGAACTTGGGCATAAGGCATTTCATTTTCCATAACTCAGTTTCCTCAACTGACATGTGGATGTCAGAGCCCCAGATTGGCAGTGTTCTTTGAGAATCAAGAAGATGGACTGTGCTGTTGAGTTCTTAGCCATGTAATCCACCTCCTTGCCAGAAGTCCCTCTTAATTCACTCAACTGAGAGAAGGTTCAGCGTAAAGAGACACACTTCCTTCTGGGGACACCTCCTGAGGAGCACATGCTGGAACTAACCTGAAATATACCTCTTCTCCTTAAATAACTCTGTCTTCTGCTTTCTGGTTTGTGGAACTGCAGTGAGCAAGGCTACAAAATGCCTTCCAAATGGCATTGTGGACTCCACTATCTCTACACATGCAGAACTAAAACTTGTCTTAATTAATACTAGAAGCACACATTAGTAGGTCCATATCTAGGACTTAGAGGAAGTAACTACTCCGTGTTAGCTGCCTAGGTAAGAAGAAAGATTCAGCCTCACCACAATCACTTCCTCTACTCTCTACTTACCATCCAAATCATACCTTAAATTTTTATTTAAAAAAATGTTAGGACACCTCCCTAATGAAAAAGCTAAAAATGTTGAAATGGTCATACCCACCAGGTTTATATTCATGAGAGTTTGTCTTCCTATTTTATCTGGATACAACTGATTTAGTACCTACTGGAAAATCTTAGATAATGATTCTCATTTAATTGACTGTGACAAGCTTTCGGAGACAACCTTGAATCCAAGGATATACAGTCTGGCTTTAATCCACATGAACAAAGGTGTTAACATCTTGGAATGAAATTTGAGAACTCAAGGAAGAGAAAAACCCATTAATATCTACAGCTAATATGTATGGGAGAAAATATTTGGTATTCATTGTGTAGTCTCAGAATGGAAGTAGTGTGACATAATTTCACAGTTAAAGTTCTTCCCCAGTTTCAATATTGGAAATTTCCATGTCCATTCCCTCATTCCATGTACCCCTTTCAAAATAAGGAAAACTGTGAGTGCTGGTGAGATGAGTAACATTCCTTCTCTAGTTGAGGGTTTTAGAATCTATGAGGAGACAAACTATGAGACAGGTCTGTGCAATTGAACTGAAGACCTTCTGTCAGTGAGGGCAGCACCATGCCATGGGCTGGTGTAGAAGACTGAGCAAAAAGAGGTGAAACTGAAATCAAATGAGCACAAGCATTCATCGATCAGTGCTTCCCAATTACACATGCATATAACCTGATGATGCATCCTCCTATGACCATGATGGATTGATTATACGTCCTCTGAACCTGAGGAAAAAAGCCACCTTAGTTGCTTTTGTCAGGACAAGAAGAAAAGTAACTAATACAGTCAGTTGTAGTTTTAAATTTCTTGTCAGTTGCTCTCCTGAGGTGGCTTACAATTGCATGTGAAAACGAGGTGGGAACGATTGGCTAAGTCTTCATTTTGCAGATCAAAATCAAGGAGGCAAGTATGTTTAATGGACATCCTTGCTGAACCTATGGAAATAACCAAGCCCAACCCACTGAACTCTTTCTTACATCAAGACATGCCCTTTGGTAATGATTCACAATCACAGAAAACTCACCTGAAATGGGAATGTGGCCAAAAACTAGAAGGCACAGCCTTTCTGTTTTATAATCATAGTCCAAACTAGAGTGATTAGTTTGAATTAACAGTCCCAGACTCACTGAATTAATCTTTAGCTATCAGAGTTTTGTCCAGGAATGCCTAAACTAATTTATATCTCATAGCACACATAACATCAACAACTTACATCTTGTTGGACATTTGCCATTTTCAATTTAGAAAATTTGTCCTAATATTTAACTGTCAAATTGTTTATGACTATCCCAGCACTGGTGATATTCAGTGTGGTCATGGCATATCACTGGTTAAGTTGTTAAGAGTAAAAAAATACATCAGACAAGATCTTTAATGTATTAATTTTATATATACACAAAAGCTCTCTTGGATATTTTGAAAGTTGCACACATTTTTTTGTAAGTTTATAGAGAAAGAATTTGTCAAGTAGTCCAAATTGGCCTTGAAATTCTCCTGCCTCACCCCCCAGATAGCAGGGATTATAGGCATGGGCCACGTGCCTATGAGGAAATTATATTTTATCAACTTTTTATACTTTGCTGTGCCCAGTCTAGCCTGCCTACAGGAAGAGTATTGATGGGGAAAGGACATAAACCAGCAAGAGGCATTACTAGAAGGAAATAGCAGGCCAAATGACAAGTAAGCAAATAAAAGGTAGTCCATGTTGGTCTAGACTACATAGCTTAAATCTGCTTATTGGAACCCACAACTGTGACAGAGTTTAAATTACATTCAATCTGGTTTGATCTTAAGGATTGTGACCATTCTCCAAAGCTGGAATTATTAGCTTTGGGAGCCTAAACTCAGGAAGGACATGCTTGTAATCTCCACACTGGAGAAGATGACTTAGAAGGATTGAGAGTTTTTGGCCAGCTTATGCTGAGTTGCAGGTCAGCCTGAGCTACATAGTGAGATCATGTATAAAACAAACAAACAACAAAAAACAACCCAATACATACACACACACCAAAACAAAACGAATACTATTTGCAAGGTATTTCTCTGATGTGATATTCTCTAGTTAAAACACAAATATTTTGGGAAGAGGGAACACATAAAGCCTTTTTAGTTGTGTACATGTTGCTATAAACAAATTACTAGTCTTATAGTTAGGGTTTCTATTGCAGTAATGAAACAACATGACCAAAAACAACTTGGAGAGGAAAGGGTTTATTTTGCACCAGTTCCTATAGTTCATCATCAAAAGCAGTGAGGGCAGGAACTCACACAGGGCAGGAACCTGGAGACAGGAGCTAATGCAGAGGCCATGGAGGGGTGCTTCTTATTGGCCTGCTTCTCATGGCTTGCTCATCCTTCTTTCATACAGAACCCAGGACCAATTGCCAAGGGATGGGCTGGGCTCTCCTCAATCAACCACTAATTAAGAAAATGCCCTAGAGCTTGACCTTATGGAAGCATTCTCTCAAGTGAGGTTTCTATCTCTCACATAGCTCTAGCTTGTGTCAAGCTGACAAACATATAGGCTTTTCTGCCAGTAAGTTTGGGATGACAGAGAGAATGCCCCGGCAAGCACTGCCTTGGTGGGACTAGGATTGTAAAAGAGATTCAGGAATAAAACAGGGTCCTAGATCTTACCAGGTCTTAACAGGTGACAAAGTCACTGTCCTTGGATCCATGTCCTGGAAGAAGCTCTCCAACTAGGTTCTGGGGGGGCATTCTGGCCATTGGCTAACACTTATCTGCCTCCAGCCATTGAAAGCCAGCATTCATACCAAGTACCTTGGGCCTATAAATGTAACACAAATCTTAAAAGGTTTTATAATAAAAAAAAACAACCCAGAGCTAGATATTGGGGTAAAAGTTGAAAGATCAAAGAAGCAGAACAGCCAGCCACTAGCTTACCTCTATGAAGTCCTCAGCCTCAAGAGAGCGAGTTTATGTTTCCTCAAGCCTTATATACCTTTCTGTGTCCTGCCATATTACTTCCTGGGATTAAAGGCACGTGTCACCACTGCCTGGTTCTGTTTCTCTCATGCAGCCCAGTGTGGCCTTGAATTCATAGAGATCAAGACAGATCTCTGCTTCCCGAGTGATATGATTAAAGGTGTGTGCCACCACTGCCTAACTTCTATGTCTAATTTAGTGGCTGGCTCTGTCCTCTGACCCCCAGGTAAGCTTTATTGGGGTGCACTATATATTACCACATATAAACAGAGGACAAATAAAGAGTTATTTCAATAGAGATGAGACTCTGCAGTGGCTGAACAGCCCTTCCTAGGCTGCCAACCCATCATAGTCTGAGAACATCTACTTCCCAGGGACTGTGCTATGTGCAAGGCCTGGGATGCACTTTTCCAAATTGTGACCTCATCTTCTGTGTATCTCTGTTCCACTCTCAATGCCTCCAGTAGCTTATACCTGAAGAAGCCCCTGACAAGGCAGAGTTGTGGTTTCTGACCTTGATGGTACCACAAGCCTTTGGGACCTTGCTATCTCAAAGTGGAAAGAGCTCTTGGAAAATTACTTTTCTCTCTCCAGCAAGTTTCCTCAACTCTATAAAAAGTGTTACTGATTCAGGCTTGGTCAGGTTTCTCCACTCTCATCTCTCAGCCCCACTCTCCACCGTTTCCTCTTGATGCCATTGTTATATCCTTTGACACAAGTAACCTCATACCCCAACATGTGGTTCTTAGTGTACTGCATGACCTGACCTGTGCATTTACCTTCCATCCTCATGCCCCGAGTCCTACCTAGTTTGATGTCAAGCTGATCCAAGCTAAAGTCATCTGGGAGGAGGGAGCCTCAGTTGAGAATTTGCCTACACAAGGCTACAGGCTGTTGGCAAGCTTGTAGGACATTTTCTTTTTCTTTTTTTTAAATTTTATTTTATAATTTAACTTAATTTTACATATCAGCCACAGATTCCCTTGTCCTCCCCCCTCCCGGCAACCCCCCCAGCTCACCCTCCATTCCCATCTCCTCCAGGGCAAAGACTCCCCTGGGGATTGAGTTCAACCTGATAGATTCAGTTCAGGCAGGTCCAGTCCCCTCCTCCCAGGCTGAGCTAAGTGTCCCTGCATAAGCCCCAGGTTTCAAACAGCCAGCTCATAGTGATTGATGGAAGAGAGCCCAGCCCATTGTGGGTGGTGCCATCCCTAGGCTGGTGATTCTGGGTTCTTTAAGAACATAAGCTGCACAAGCCATGAGAATCAAGCCACTAAGCAGAACTCCTCCATGCCCTCTGCTTCAGTGCTGCCCCCAGGTTCCTGCACTGAAGGTCACAGACAGACTGTGTGGAGGGTAGGAGTCCAGCATCCACAAAGATTCTGGACTCATTAAGGAAATGGAGTAGCCTGACATGGGCTCTCCGATAGCAAGCTCCCTACACCCAACATCCCCTGACAACTGTACAAAGCTTTGATATAGCAATTTTTCTTCTTAGTGAAGCTCTGCTACCAAGTAAACTGGAGGCTCAACTGTCTGTCTGTATACCCATTTCTTTGTTCCTCCTGCCCCCAGTGATTTTAACTTCATGACATCTCTGGGTATGCAGTACTTACTGGGCAATATTGGAGACTTTTTTTTATCAGTAGTAGCGCTTCCTCCTTTTCTTCTTCTTCTTTATGGGTACAATATCTTCATCTGAAGATTTAGTTGGGGCTAGATACAGCACATTCAGCACTAGGAATAAAGTAGGAATAGGTTCAAAACAGGGAAGGAGTCATGGCACAAAGCTCTGGGACATTGTTGGGTATTTCTTGCAGGGAATAAGTTGACCATCCTAGGTGAGTGACTGCTCCCACACATGCCACCTTCCATGCTATCGACATTGTTTGGGAGAATTTTCTATTGGCTGTTTGTTGTTTTGTTGTTTGTAATTTTTGGATGTTCCCCTTGGGTCTCCTTTCACATCAGAAACAAAGCTTTGCTTGCTAACTGTGTTGTGCTTAGCATCCCTGTTCCCATTCTGTTCAGCTCCCTGCTTTCCTCAGCTAGGCAAGAACAACCCTTCACCTCTTTTCCATAAGGAAAGGTGTGACCAGATAACCTGTTAAGACCCAACTGTGGCCGGGTGGTGGTGGCGCACGCCTTTAATCCCAGCACTCGGGAGGCAGAGCCAGGCGGATCTCTGTGAGTTCGAGGCCAGCCTGGGCTACCAAGTGAGTTCCAGGAAAGGCGCAAAACTACACAGAGAAACCATGTTTCAAAAACCAAAAAAAAAAAAAAAAAAAAAGACCCAACTGTGTCTTGCTGGGCATGTCCCTAAGAAATGTCTCATTGTATACACTTCCCATTGGGATTTTTGGCTGTCCCATAAACTTTATAAAGAACTCAGGTGAGGCCACATCTCAAGGGAAGGGGAAGAAAATCAGGTACACTTAGGCACAAAACAGGAATGAATCCTGGGACCCATGTTGGATGGTTAGGCCCCATCAGATGGGCAATGCAACCCAGTATGCACAATCAAGAACAAGGCAGCAAGGACTTTCATGGATTACTAGGCATAAAGTGCAGAGTTCCCATTCCACTCAGGAAATAGGGAAGAGAGTGGAGAAGGCTCTGGGTAAGGGACAGAAGAGTGGTCAAATAATGTGGGCAGTGAAGTGGGCTCCTTCATGGATGTGGACACATTGATTAGAAAGAGGAGTCCCTGAGTTTACACAAGACAGAATCAATGCATCAGAAGTAGAATACAGAGAAGGCAGACATACTTTGCAGTGAAGAGAAACCCTCACCCTATTGCAGGGGTTTCATAAAAGACATTTGGGGAATATACTCGCCTTTGATTCAAACTCTAGACCAGTGAAGATAGGTGAGAACTATTCTAAGTATGAAGCACATAGAAGTTCCAGACAGCTCAGAGGACAGAATACACAGGCAGACATGGCAAGGTGATCTGATGAGACAGGGAAGGAAATAGACATTCAAACATAAAGAGGATAATCCAGAAAGGACTCAAAAGATGAAATACAAGTGGCCATGCACTTTAAATCCTGGGATCTTTTGCAGCAATTATGAACTAGGAATATCTGAAAAGGAGCCCTTATCTGGACCAGAGAGTCCCAGATCCATGTTCAAGCACTAGGTCAGAAGCTCCAAGATAGATGTCAGTGTGTCCTTTGACTCATTCACCCTAGAGGTCAGTCTAGTATGAGGAGCACAGGGTGGAAATGAGCTCACATACAGCCTTCCTTTTTTCCCTGTCCCCACAGACACCTTGTCCACATGACAGAGTAGACATAGAATGCAATGTTGTTACCTACCCGGAGCTACAGTACTTGATACCTTTCTCAGCTCCCAGAGCTGTACTTCAAACGCATCTGGAAGAAAGCAAACAGAGTGGCTTATTCTGCCTACAGAAGATACAACCTCATCAGTTCACACCAGATCAGCCTCAGCTTTCCACTGGTTCCTTGACATCTTAGGTTATGGAAGGTGCTTCAGTGAGGCCAGACTACTCACTCTGCCACCTACCCATAGAATGCCCTTCATATAAAGACTGAATGGAGGCTGGAGAGATGGCTCAGAGGTCAAGAGCACTGGCTTCCAGAGATCCTGAGTTCAATTCCCAGCAACCACATGGTGGCTCACAACCATCTATAATGAGATCTGGTGCCCTCTTCTGGCATGCAGGCATACATGCAGGTAGAACACTGTATACAAACAAACAAATAAATAAATAGAAGCTGGTACTTTAAGATTTTAGAAAAAAAAAAAACTGAACAGAAACATTGAGGTACTGTTACAAGTCCTGCAGGACCAGCCAGAAGAGGATTAGCTTCTTCTGCATTATTGGGCCCACACTACAAGACCTTTGTACTCAGGTTCATGTCATTGACTATAGAGAGTTGTGATTCATTGACAGTTCCTTCTGTCACAACTCACCAATCAAAAGTGAGCACCACGTGTACATTTTTTCCCAGACTACATCAGAATACACACAATTTCCAAGGAGAGCTACTAATTACAACCGAAGGCTAGGAGCTTTGGAAGTGACAGAGGCAGGAAGGATGGATGTTCTGGTAAAGATCATATTTTTATTTTTAAGTTTATTTCATCTGTATTGCCTGCATTTGAGTGCCTGTATATCACTTGCATGCAGGCCAGCCAAGACTAGAAGAGGGCATCAGATACCCTGGAACTGAGATACAGACAGTTGTAAGCAGCTATATGGGTGCTGGGACTCAAATCTGATCCTCTGGTAGAGCAGACAGTGCTCTTAATCAAAGAGTCATCTCTCCAACTCCCCCAAATCATCTTTAATTGACAGTGGGGTTTGGTGTCATTGTTTCTATCCCTCTTTACAGTTATGCCTGGAAGGAGTAGTACACAAATCTCCATGCAAATCTACACCTCACTGATACATTCCCCACTGCTTAAGCCTGCCAAGCAGAAGGTACAACCTGGCTGTTTCCTGGATCCTCTCCTATTGATTCCGGTAGGCATGTTGTTACTTACCAGGAAAGCTCTCTTTACTATCGATGTTCTGCTGTTCTTCAACATCTGTGTCTCCCACCTGGGCTACATCTGCAAGAACATCAGGACAAAGTGTACCAGGTGAATCCACGAGAGTGCACACAAAATTAACCACAATTCTTCTTGGGATTTTCCATGGAGTGTCTATGGCAGAATCATTTCCTCTCATTTAACTTTCAACCTTCCTTCCCTACAAGAATCCTGATTCAGGCTTTTTATTTAGGAAGGAAACACTAAGAGATTTCCTGAACAAGAGACATATTTCAGATACTTACAGCTTCCTAGCATGTTGGAAGCCACCTGCAATTATGAAACAGAAAGCATTGTTAAGATAGGCTGTACTATATACTTCACAATGGTCTAGTTTTCTCTTCATGACTTAGGGAAAATGGAAATATAGCTCTACTGTACTGCATATGACACCAGTACAGATGGAAAGAGTCTTCCATGCACTGTACTTCCCAAGTCCATTAACACTGCAAGCAAATCCTTAATAGAACAGGGAAAGTAATTCCTGAGGGAACTACTTCTATGATTCAATTTTAATAGATGTGGTGATGTCAACGACACTAGAGACCTGGAGACCCAGTGGCAGGAAAACCACCTGAACTCCACAAAGGAAACTGTTTTTAAAGAGTAACACACAAGGAACCCAAATATTTTTGTAGAAGATACACAAAGGTGCTCTTACCGTATGCTTGGATTCTGGAACATGTATACCACCTGGGAAATCTAGGACAAAACAGAATAACTGTGAGGATGTTGCCAACTAATGATTATAAAACACTCAGGAAATATTCTCAATGTACACACATGTGTATGGAGATAGCTTGGGTTGCTGTTGGGCCATTCTCAAGTGTAGAAGGATGTTCCAGAAAAGAAAAAAAAAAACAGAACAAAATAAGACCTAGGATCCTGGTTCCTCAATTAAAGCCACTTTAAACAATATAAAATAAATCCAGCTGATTCACACTTTGAGGTATATACTTGTAATCACAGCATTCAAGTGGCAGGTGAAGGAGGATCAGGGTTCAAGGTCAGCTTCAACTTTATAGTGAGATAGAGGCTAGCCTGGGATAAATGTTTCTCTCTCTCTCTCTCTCTCTCTCTCTATATATATATATATATATATATATATATATATATATATATATATATATATATATATATATATATATATATATATTAAAGCAGCATAATTTCTAACTGTATTCTAAATATTTATCCTTACACTCATAGGTCAGTGTAGCTTTTACCATCCAACAGAACAATTTCTCTTTGTAAGAGAATGAGATCATAACAGAAAACCACAACAAATGCAAATGCAGAGAACAAGTGACTGTGGGGTGCCCGGCCTGAACCATCCATTTAGAACACTAGTCCTGCAACCAAAAACTGTGGAGAGTGGGAGAAAATTCTCTTCCCCAGGGAACAGCCCAATTGGATTTTCAAGAAGAGATGGTCAGCTCTGAAATCTCATAGTACAGATAACATTATATGCAAAGAAGCTGGTCAGTGGTGGTGCATGCCTTTAATCCCAGCACTCGGGAGGCAGAGGTGGGCAGATCTCTGTGAGTTCGACACCAGCCTGGGCTACAGACTGAGTTCCAGGAAAGGTGCCAAAGCTATACGGAGAAACCTTGTCTTGAAAAAAAAAAATTATATGTAAAGAGTGGATTGTGTATATATATATATATATATATATATATATATATATATATATATATATATATATATATTTAGGAATACACACACACACACACACACACACACACACACACACCTAAAATCTACAGTTACAGGAAAGGAGGCGAGAGGGCATGAATTTGAGGAAGAAAGGGGACCGGACATGGGGATGGTCAGAGGGAGGAAAGAGGAAAATGACATAATTTAATTTCAAAGAATAAAAAGTTTCAAAGCACAGTATGTGTAATTGTTAACACTTGTTATCTGTCACCAACAGATGTTTCTCAGAACTGCACAGGCTGCTCAACTGAGTCTTTCTTTGGTTATCGATAAGCTAGGTTGGAAAATCTTATTGTTCATAGTGCTATTAGAATGTATACTATAATATTTTTGTCATTTTTCTTTTATGTTTGGGTCAGCTTCTAAGATATGAGTCCAGAATCTACAGAAGTAAGCCACCTTGTCCTTAATAATTGTTTTTAACTCCAAAGGTCTCTGGGAAATGACCAGACACAGCAGGGTGTCTTTGGACTTTCACGAGTGACTTCAAGCATCTGTGGATGTGGCCTAGATTAATATGCAGTTAAAAGGACATGGAGGTAATTTGCCATGAATGGTCAGCATCTCTGAACCATGTGGTAAACTCTCAGCCCTGCTGATAATGCTCTAATTTTTTTCTTAAATGAATTTAAGGCTCAACCATGGAAGCAAGAGCAATGGATTACCCAGATAGATTTATGTTTTAACTTTCTGCTTTCGACTTTGAGTCAGGGAATCTTCATTTTTGTTCTAAAGAAGGGGTTATAACAATTCCCAGGCACAAATATCATGAAACCAGCAGAGCTAATAAAGTATAAAGTTCATTTAAAGTGTGTGTGTGTGAGTGTGAACTATGTGCTCTATAAACCATCCCCCTGTGCACAATCACATACATTCAGAATCACAAGACATTGAAGCACATGAAACCCTAGCATTCTTTATGCACGCAGCCTCGTGGAAATCTATGCAGAAACTTGACTGTAAAAGGGTATCTAGAGCACCTTTAAAAAATCATGTTGACTGTTTTGCTCCTTCCAGAAAGAGCAAGTTGGGTGGCCTTTCAAAAAGAAGACAGTAAGGGACACCCTACCTATCTTAGCATTTACATTTTTCCTCATCAAGGAGTTAAACAATACTTACAACTTTGGTATTCTTCCCAAGCTCCCTGAAATTACAGAAACAAAGACATTTTGAGGGTAGCATCATGGGACATGTAGGCATGTCAGTATTGAAAACGCATGGCAATCACTGCCAACATTAATAGCTGGTAAAACAAAGATAAGATATATCTGTGACAAAGCTTTGATTTTTTTTCTTGAATGATGTATCTCTAACCCTCCTTCAGTCCCCAATCAAAAAATAGTTAATCCAAGGAAGAAGAATTGTTTTCCAGAGGGACAGGTAGAGCATCTGTTTTGTACCCTGTCTGTGCCATTCACAAATGCTCTTTCTCTTAAGATGTCCATTGGCAAGGGACAGTTCTACTACTAAAGAAAACACAGCATAGTATATATAACACACACTGTCATATTTTAATAGCAAAACTCAATGAAATAGAAAATTCAGATAGCAACATTTCTATGTCAGTCACGAAAGGTCACTTTACCTCATCATGATGGTCGAACTCTTCCTCTCGACAAAAAATCTGTTTAATATCAGGGACATTTGTAGAACCTAGGAAGACAGAGTGACTGTTAATCACTGGTGCTGTGGCCCATGGCTTCCTGAGAGGACACAGCTTAGCTTACACAACAGGATTGTATGTATGGCTATGCTCTGAAGGCTAGACCAAGTAGTTGCTGGAGAATCCTCATTGAAAGCACCCAGTCAATGAGAAGCAGGGAATAAATGAAACACTTGCAGTGTGCTAATGTCAACAGAAGACAATAAGATAGTTTTCCAATGGTACAAGATTCCCATTACTCCTATCAATCACTTGAAAACCAGTCTTCTAAAATCAAGAAATAATGTGAGTTTTAATTTATACCAAGTGCCATCTAGTACACACTCTCCAGGATACCCAAAAGAATATGGTTTATGGAGTGGCATCAGTGAACATGAGAAAATAAAAACCATGATAATGTCTCCCCTCTGCAGCACATCTGGGCACCTCAGAATGCCAGAAATGAAGCAAGGCTCATAGCAATCCAGGAGCTAATTCAATGAACCATGCAGCATTTTAACTTCTAGTGGCACCATGCTCCATTCCCTAGTTCAGTGCATGAACTACAAAGGGACAGTCACATACTGGGGAAAGGAAAACCTTTAATACTGTTGTGTTGGAGCAGCACAACTTTTCTCTGGAGTAGATATGATTTTTAAAGTGGACTAATAAAGCTATGTAATTTTTATCTTTGGAGTAGAAAAGTCTTTTCCTAAGTCATATGCTAAAAGCATTGTCAGACCATGTTTTTCTGGTGGTTTCCTGTGGTGATAAGCATATTCTGGGGCAAATATTCCAGAAAATGAAATTACAATAAAATGAGAATCGTGGATATTATTTACACTCTTCCTACATTTTTTTGGTAATCTAGAGTTTACAGTAAGGACAACGTATATTCAACTTATAATACATGGCCTGTAAAAAGTGGTCCAAAGCTAGCAGGAACAGACATACTTGTGATGAGCTAAGGCCTTGCACCTACTGAAGACACTTGGAGGAAATGGACTTCTTACCCCAACATAAAACATACAAGTATACTAAAGCACGTAGGACAGATACAGACAAGGTCCAGATAGGTCACAGGAAGGCTGATATCATGTTTCTAAGTCCTAGTATACAGGTAGGAGTTCATGGGAACTCCCAAGACCTCTGACCTTGTAGATTGAACCCAGAATGCATTAAAAGGGGTCAAAGCTAGGCCAAGGTCAAGCTTCCTCCTCATCCACTAGGTCAGTTGCTGCAAGACAGATGCCAGCTCTCAGATATCCATTACCTCAGTCATCTTGCACATCAACCAGTCCAAGGAGAGGAGAAGAGAATTCAAATGAATGAAACTCATATGTTTGACACTTACTTCCAGGGATGGAGGCCAGGCTAAAAAGCCTTTCTGTCAGTTTAGCCATGCCATTCTCTGGGTGTCGTTAAAACAAGTCTAAACATTGAAGAGCAGACCATGAAGATGGTAATACAAGCTCTAAAGGACTAGAGGAAGAGAATCTGATTCTCCTGCAGCATTGAGCCAACACTATGAGACTTTCATATCCAAGTTCATATGTATGAGCACACATGAGAGAATTGTCCTAAGCAGAGAGATGGGCTCTACCATAGGTTAGCACACAACCATAAACAAAAAGTACTTCAGGGCTACTGTGATGATTCATCTCAATTATCAATTTGATGAGATCCAGAACCTCAGAGCACACCTGTGAGACATTATAGTGACTAGGAAAGCTGAAGTGGGATGATCCACCAACTGTGGGGAGACATCATTTCCTTGACTGGGATCTTGAACAGTAAAAATAGAAGAAAGTGAGTTGTGCAATACCATTGATTTTTCACTGCTTTCTGGTTCTGGTTACTTAGAGCTTTTCTCTATATAGATGTTCTACAATCATGAAATGGATTCTCAAGCTAATTGCAAAATAAACCTTTCAGCTCTAGTTTGTTTTTCTCAAAGTATTTTGTTAAAGAGAATAGAAAATTAATTTAGGCAGCATTTCCATGGAGAGCTGTTGTGTATCCTTATGCTTCTGAAAGAGGAAAAGCACAAGAACCTTCCATTTTTCTTGTACTTACAGATCTCTTTCCTGCTCTCACACTCGAAAGCACAGGATGTGACACTGCCACTTCTGGGATCCTTCCCCATTGAACCTGATTAAGAAGGCTGCTATATAAATCAAATTTCACCTGTATTTTTTGGACTCCAGATCTAATCCATCTCTGTTACCCACACGTGGGAATAAGTAGCAGATAGGGATGCTCACCCGTTCCTGCCCACATCAGGTGAAACTACATCAACTTACACATGTGCCCCAGCTTTCCTCTAGTTCATGTTATTCAGCAAGATCCAAAGTGACTTTTAAATATATCTTTAATTTCTATGGTTGTCTGGGTGGTGGCGGCCCATGCCTTTAATCCCAGCACTCAGGAGACAGAGCCAGGCGGATCTCTGTGAGTTGAGCACAACCTGGGCTACAGAGTGGGTTCCAGGAAAGGCGCAAAGCTACACAGAGAAACCCTGTCTCGAAAAACCAAAAACCAAAACCAAAAACCAAAAAAAAAAAAAAAAAAAAAACCCAAAACTCTATGGTTGTATTTCTACTGATGAGATAGATACATTAACATTTTTCACATATTAAAATTTCTGATAAATCTTTTCAGTTTTACAGATAGTACAAAGGATAATTGACTAATACATAGAACAGAAACAAAGCCTCAATATATCAATATGTACACTACCTTCCCTTTGTGTTTGTGGCATTTCTTTAGAAGTACTAGTGACAGCTGGAGCAGCTGGAGGTTCCTCTACATCTTGAGAGGTGATAGTTTTCTTCTTATAAAATCTTCTAAATATTGAAAATACTGGGAATGTAGTCACAACAGAGAGAGTTATGTTAGTTTATGGCAGAAAAACAGAAAACTAATCACGGCTGTGTTTGTAAATTTCATCTAATTTCCTGTTTCCAGCTAGTCATCAGAGTCAGAGTATTGCTTCAAGAAGATCACCATACTTTGTGATTAAGCAGTATACAGACACTATAGGTAATGTCTGCATTTACGTGGCTGGTACAATACAGAAAAAGCAGCAGGACTGAATGTGTTATATGGATTTGATGCCAGATGGGAAGCCATCCTTCTGAGAATCACATGAATACAACTGTTGTTCACACAATTCCTCTTTCTTCCATGCTTTTCTCCAAACACTGGAAGTTTCAGAAGGACTTCTCATGATACTTTCTAGTCTAAAAGAGAACTACAAATGGTAAATCATAAGGAAAGGAACACGTACAGCAGAAATATTCCAATGATGTTTGTTAAATATCAGAGGAATTCAGCTAGATGCTAGTGACTGAATTCAGAGTGATCCATGGGTCCAGCATGGGGAGCATGGCTGTTGTTGACCTTCATTCTTCATTTGCCCATGGTACTTATAGCTCACAGAGAACATATGGTATTGCCTTAGATGAGTTGAGAAGTAAAGAACTGTGTGCATTCCCTACTTTTGACTTTTAGGTACCACAGTAGTTATATTCCTGTCACTGTGACCAAACACCTGACACAAGCAGCCTGAGAGAGATACTCTTTACCTTCCAATCTTTGACTCAAAATTGGAGAAGAGGGCACTGGCTTAGTACAAATATGTGACCCTTCCTCTGCATCTTCAACCTGTCATATCCCTCTCAGTGACTAATTTTAATTGCCAGGGAACCACACTGAGAGATTATAGATTCATATTCCTTGGAAATACTCAGAGTCCAATTTATTCTAAACCATGTTATTGCATGGCGGTTTGAAAAAATGAAACTTCCCTTCAATTGGCCCAACCTTGATGTCTTCAACATGACCAAGCAAGAAAAGCAGTCTGTCATTTGGGTAATATGTATGCACATGGCTTTCTAGATGACAAATATCCTCAGCCACTACATGGATAACCCAGATAAAGTGTAGATAGAAGGGTAGAGTCTATATTAACACCAAATGTGCACCATAACTGCTCTGCTCTGACTCATCAAAGTCCAGTTTCTACATACTCTTCCATCCACAGGTTCTATAGGGACAATTGAGTCACACTGACTCCCTAAACATTCTTTAAACTACCAGAAATACCTATAATGGAAGATTAGGCTGAAAATGCCTATGTACAAAAGGATAAGTTTGAATTTATGATTCTCCTCACTCCAGCTCTGAAGAACTGGGTTTACCGAAGTGTGCCACCATGGGCACATATTATACAGCCATTGCAATCAAATCCAGGACTTTGAATATGCTAAAAGTACACTAAACCAACTGGTCTTTACATTCCTTCCCACTGACCCTCTCTGTCAAATCCTGACTGTGAGGTTACTGTAACACAGCCAGCATCTTCAAAATGATGATACCCAGCCATACTCTGCCTGTATAACTCACTGTTGCTTTTATCATTCCACTGAATGCTCAGACATAGCAGGCAGCATGGAGAATGACAGCCAGTGACAGAAGTAATATTGGAACACAAACTCAAGTTCACCTTTAAAGATGTATATATAGCCAAAAGAATGATCCAGTGCAGCTCAAAAATGAAGGGATGACTGGAGGTCTAAGTGGACATTGCCCATAAATTGTGTTGCTCTTTGGGCTCATGTTAATGTTGTTAATGTCTAATCTGTTAAGCATTTACACCAGTTCTTACTGGAATGAATCATCTCTACCATAAATCCAGTTATCACACACATCCGACCTATTTTTCAGTGTAGTGTCTCCTACAGTCAAACTCTCTGATCTGATCAAACATATGGACTTTCCATCTATCATAATTATGAGTGTCTGCAGGCAGGTGTGGAGCACTGCCCTGGCCTTCTACCCACTGTGGTGCTCATCATTGTCTGGAATCTCCCTAGGGCTGGGTTATTGCAGGCAGGTGCTGAGAGGCTGAACCTATCACATAGGGATTCCCGAGCCCTTGACAAGTAAAAAGTCCTTCCTGAGCTCTATCACTGGAAAGACCAATGACCTATCTCCTCACCTTGGGCTATGCTTCTCCAGAGAGCTGGACAAAGAAACAAGTCTACCACATATCTGTATGGCAAGGTTTGAACTTTTTTGTAGGTAAAATGTGTATCTTGCTTTTTGAATTGACAAATTTGTCACTGGAAAGTGGACTGTGCCATAGGGATAACTGTATTGGGGGAAAAGCTATTTAGACCCTGCCTGGTGCACAAAATTCCAAAATAGCTGAATGCAGTGACTGTAGACACATGAGTAGGGCTGGTTACTCAGGGCATTGCCTTCCCCCCACCCCCGCCACCTTGAACTCCCAATAGGAGTCTCATATCACATTGGAGTACCAGAGAAAAGACAGCCAGCATTTAAATAATTCTAAAATGTGTCTTGAGTGATACCATAATACATACTGCAATTGAATTTTCTATTCTTCACCTGTAATTGAAAGGAAAAAAAACACTTTGAGGTTCAGGTCATACAGAGTCTATTTGCATAGCTCTTTAGTTAACGCTATAACACAGCATAGTGTAAAGTAGGATAGGAAAAAGACATAAAAAAGACTGTACTGATACAATATGAGGGTGTCACAGCAAAACAGAGCTACATATTTGTGACAAAAAATAATACATCACACATCTATGCTGATTCAAAGCGAGGGCAGAGCACCTCTTCTGTTTGGCCTTCACTGAGGGCTCCCTAAGTTACATCACAACATGGCAGACCAACTTAACAACCTGATTTGGGAGATTATTTTCTTCTATGGGGGGTCCTCCAATTATTTGCATGAATGCACATGTTTTAAATGTATCATACCCTAAATATTCAAATATTGGATGCATGATGCTTCCCACCACATAGACTTTTGGGGAACAACCCAAACTCCATCTAGATGACAGGTTGGAGAAACAAATAGGAGAGGAGTCTTAAGGAAAAATACACATCTTAATAGATGACATGCCTATTAACTTCTGAATCAATATTATACTCATTTTTCTAAAGAGGAGCCCTTTTTATCCAGAAGAAAAGGCCCCTTCACACAGATTGTGATACTTGATGCTGGAAGATTTGATTCAGTCTGGACCAGGATGATACAATTCCTTTGTCCTTTTCCTAAACTAACTCTCTTATACCCATGACGCCCTGCTTAGTTTTGTTGTTCAATGGAATATCCACTCAAACATAAGATCACTAAAGTAACCTTTCTACCTTAGAGAAAAGAAAGGCCCCCTTACCTTTTCTACCTTTACTGGTGTCTTTTCAGGTAATGCTAAGGAGACAGAAAGTAACTGTCAGCTCATGGTACTGCTTACTACTTATGCAGCATTCTTGCTTGATGGGGCTAAAAGTGCATGGACTCAGTACAAATGACTAGACCTAATGAACAGATGGTTGGGTGGCTGCTGAACTGTCTTCCCTTGAAGGGAAATTAAAACAGAGAGAGTCCTGGAGATATATGAGTAACAAAATTGTTTTATTTCCAGACAGTGGAAACCTAAAGCAACATAAAATAATCTATCTGATTGAAGATTAAATACATATCTTCACATGTATTCTCTTTGGTGGGACCACTGGTATGGCTCAGTTTGCATGTGGAGGTCAGAAGACATATTGTGGGATCCCAAATTATAGATGCATAAGATAACCCCTTCACCTAAGACTTAAGGAACATTTTGGTAGAGGAGTGGAAAGACTATAAGAACCAGAGGAACAGGACATATGCTACTAGATGGTGTCTTCTAGACATGGCAGGGATGATATAACCCATGAAATCTCAATACAATTCCCCAAATAGGACCTGCATCAGGACAGTTCCTACTGATAAGCCATCCTAGCCCAAGAGCTACAGGCAATCAATGGCTGTAGAGAGATGAAGAATCAATTTTCTCCATGGGTAAACCCCCTCATAAGTAATTTAATCCCAAACCAACAACACTAAACATACAACAGCATACATAAGTATACATAAGAGCAACATTAAATGGACTCATCTGTATATGTAACTATAATTATTATCATAAAAGAAGTCATATATTTGAAGGGTGGACATGGGATGAGTTAGATTGAGGAGAAGGTGGGATAGAATAATGTAAATACAGTAGTCACATTAAATTCTCAAAGAATTAAAAATGTAAATTATAACAACCCTGATCTTTCACTTTTGTCTTCCTTCCTTCAATCAAGGATTTTCATTTGAGCTAGACCTGGAATAATAGCCAGCAAGACACAGAATCCTTCTTTCTCTGCCCCTGAATATGCTGGGGTTATGGGTGTGCACAGAATTGTCTGACTTTTTTATGTGCCCTGGAGATTCAAAATAGGGTACTGATGTGTGTACTGAGCCATCTGTACACCATGCATTTAACATTAAACAACTATTTAAAAGTGAATGTTCATGTCCCATTATATTATCTCTCAAAGGTAAAGAATGATGCAATCTTGGTAATCATGAATAATAAGAGGTAAATTGTAATAATTCATCATATGTGGTACATATTTTATGGAATAACATTGCACAAAATCTACATGTGTTTTATGTGTTTATGAACATAGTTTTCTTGTCTTTGTAACACTTCTGCTTTGTGAAGTATATATCAACAAGCAGCAACCCTTTTAAACTTACCAAAACTCCTAAATAATGATTAGAAGTTGCGCATTTTTAGCAAGGTGAAGGCCAAAGACATGGGACTTCTTTTAGAGAAGGCACAAAGGATAGGCATTTCCCTGAAGGTGATCTTTTCCATGCAAAATGAAGGCCTGTGAACATGAGGCTACCACCAGTATATAGATGCGGGTAAATTCAAGAAAGAGTCATTGTAGGGAGATGATATTTCACTAATTGGAATCACAGCCTTAGGTGTTTGGACCAAAGTGACCATCACATGTCAGTGACTTTACTGTTCTTTGTTACTCTTCCTAGGATTTCAGACAATTTTCTTCTATTTGTGTGTGTGTCTTTGTCTATGTGTGTCTATCTGTCTGTGTGTCTGTGTGTGTGTGTCTGTGTCTACATGTCTGTGTGTGTGTGTGTGTGTGTGTGTGTGTGTGTGTGTGTGTGTGTCTATATATGTTTTCACTTGGTTGTTTTTTACTGTGTCTTGTATCACTCTGCTTATGTGACTTCTCCTAGCTGACTCTGATTAACTTCTCTGTCTTTACACATTCACATGCCTCAGTTGCTCACCATCAGCCTTTCAGCTCTGTCCATAAGGTAAAGGGATGAGCCAGATGACCTACTAAGATTCAACTGTCATTCTGGGCATGTAGTCCACAAGAAGTTTTCTGTTATGTCCTCTTATCTCTTAATGGTCTTCTGAATCTGATGAGTTTAGCAAAGGAGAGAGAGAAAAATATGGAATATAAAAGACATGACACATAGAGAGTCATTCTGGGGACTCCTCTGAGCAATGTTTCATAGTATGAAACATCAAGAACAAGTTTCCTGATACAAGGGAATTGACACACTTTTATATATTTCCAGGTACAGAGTCTAGAGACCACATGGCACTCCAGAAACAGGAGAAAGTGGCTGGATAAGAAAGATGGGAGATTATGGGGTGGAGACTAGTCCTGGATCTCTGTGACATCTTGCTCAGAAGCAATAGCTGCTGAGTTTAAGGTAAAGAGACACACAGTATTAAAGCTACAGAGATTGCCTATGGAGCCCAACAAGAGAATGCAGGAGATCAGACTTTCAAAGATCAAAGTTCTTGAACCTACCAAGGAAGGGAGGAAACACACTCCTTAGATATTAACTCATTTCCACCCCAAAACAAGCATGTCAGCTATTCCCTGGAGAAAGTCACAAATATGCAAAACATTGAGGACAGAGACAGCCTGTGGCAAGATGGGTGCCAAGAGAGTTGATTCCCAATTGTTCATGTCTTTTAGCCCTTGGAACATGGGTATTAGTTTATGGGAACTCCCTAAGGCACCATCTGCATCTTGGAGCTGGAATCAAGAACGCATGAAAAAGAGCCAAGGCAGGGGCCAGAGATCAGATCCCTCCTCATTCACAAGGTCAGAGGCTCAAGGATGAATGACAATTCTCTAACCTCCTTTACACCTCAGTCATCCTGCATGGCAGTCCAGGATGAGGAGCATAGGCTGGGAATGTACACTGCAGATGTGGTAGTTCTGTCAGAGTAAACAGCCGTTTTAGCCACACTCTACCCTATTGGTGCCACATGAAGTAGGAGTTAACAGTGAAAAGAGGACTATGCATGGATTGCTACAAGTCCTGAAGGATGAAAGGGAAGGGCTCTGTTATTCCTGCATCATTGGGCCCACTGCTAGACTGCTATAGAATAATCCTTCTCTACACTGTGTGAATACATGTTGCTATGATTGGTTTAATAAACAAGCTGACTGGTCAAAAGCTTAACAGAATAAAGTTAGGTGAGAAAGCCAAACTGAGAATGATGGGATGAGGAAGAATGGCATCAGAGGAGTTGCCAGTCAGATGGAGAAAGAGTCAGACATAAAAAAAAATGGGATAGAGGTAAAAGCCATGAACCTCATGGGAGAATATAGGTGAATAGAAATGACTTAAGTTGTAAGAGCTAATTAGTAACAAGCCTGAGCTATCAGCTGAACATTTATAATTTATGTTAAGGCTCAATGTGGTTATTATGAAGCGGCTGCTGGGACACAAAGAAACTCTGCCTATATTAGACTATCATCTACAGGTTTCTGTGAGTATAAGAGAGAATGCTGTCCCTCACCATACAGATTGGCTCTATCACAGGTTAATACACAAAGTGAACAAAATACTTCACGGGCACTGCCATGGTTAATCTCCACAGTCAACTGGATGATATCCAGTACCGGGCATGCAAGTGTGAGATTATATCAACTAGGTTAGCTGAGATGGGATGACTAACGAACTCTCCTCAGCATTATTGCTTAGGAAGGTGTGGTGGTTATTGCTTGTCAACTTGTTTTCATCTGGAATGAACTAAAACCTCAAAATAGAGGGCATATCTGTGAGAAATTTTTTTTCTTAAGGTGAAGTAGGAAAATCCACTTCCTTTCAGATCTTTGAGGTAGGAAGACACACCTTTAATCTAAATCTTTTGAGCTAGGAAAAGACAAGCACTTGTGGCATGAAGACACATGCCTTCAACCAGGAACTTGAGGCAGGAAGCCACAGCTTTAATCCAGCTTACACCTCCTGCTGGAAGCCTATATAAGGACATGGAAGAAAGAAGCTTTTGCTCTTTGCCTGATTACTCTGGCCTTGTTAGCAAGTGCATTCCTTCACTGGCATTACAGCCTACTTCTTCAGAATTCCAGTGTCTACTGAGACACCCAGCCTCATGGACAGAGCAGCTTCTGGATTCTCAGACTTTCTGTTCATAGTCAGTCATTGTTAGATTAGCTGCACCGCAGCCTGTAAGTCATTCTAATAAATCCTCCTTCTATATCTATATATAGAGATTCATCTATTCATTATGCTACTCTAGAGAACCCTGAATAATCCAGAGAGTACTATATAAAAAGAAGAAAGTGAGCTGAGCCCAAGCATTCATTCATCTAGGTTTTCAACAAGTTTTGTTTCTTTACCATAAGCTCCTGCCTCTATATGTGACTGCCCTGCAATTATCGGTTGTAACCTTAGACTCCATGGACTAAAGAAGCTAATTATTCTTTAGTTTGTTTTACTCACACCTGAGAAAAAAATTCAGACAGACACAATTAAAATGAAGATCTAGTAACCACAAGCAAAAGCTTAGGAATTTGGTAGTGTCACAGGCTGAAAAAATATTCTGATACTCAGTTCTAAATGTCTTCATTAACACCCCCTCACCCCAGGTTTTAGGGAGGTATGTGGAAGAGGAGGTAGAAAGGATCCAGTGTTGGATGACATCAAGGAAATACTGTCTTCCAGACACAACAGGACTGATGCACTTATGAACTCACAGAGACTGTGGCAGCACGCACAGGCTCTAGCCAGACAGGGCCCCAGTGTTGAGAGGGGGAAGTGAACAGGAGCTCCCATTCCTAACCAAGAAGCTATCTTCATTGGCAAACTCTTGCAAGGGAAAAATTAGTTTTCTCCAATAGAGTCACATTAGGTATATTAACCACACTTAAAGGTAGGTCCAATGCAAGCCAAAACCAAACAAATGCAATGGTATTTTTGTAGACATTTTGGGTCTCATATTGCTTTGTTTGGGCATTTTTAAAATCTTACTGGTCTTTTGCAAATATATTATGGTTTCTGATTTTGGTTTTTATGTTGCTTTTTTGGGGTGTGTGTGTGTATGTTTGTTGTGCTTTTTCACTGATTATATATTGGTTTTCTATTATTTTTTTTTTTTTTTGGTTTAAACGCATGGGTTTAATGGTAAGAAAGCCAGGGGGAAAGAGAATTTCAAGGATGGGGGGTCAAAACTGTTAAAACGGTGCACAGTGAATGAAAAGTACAGAGCAGAGAAAAGCTATTCTACCCTGTGATTATCATTTGTGACATTCAGAAATGCAGTTTCATTCATGTGGGGGCAGAAGGTCAGAAGACATTGAGTTCAAGAGCAAGTGAGACTGAGAAAGACGGGCAGGCAGCAAGGGTAGAACACACCTCAAAATTGACAATGGAATGGAAGAAGCTAGATTATGAGACACTTAAAATAACACCTTTCTATCACATCTCACAGCTCCCGGGTAGGTAGTTCCAGAAATACCCTTTTATTTCGAGTATTTAAACACGCATAGTTTACACAGAAATGAGAAACATGGCAGGCTTTATTTGGGGTTCAGTCTAGCCTAATTCCTGTTAGCTTTGAAAGGACACTCAGAAGAGGGTCTACCTTTTTTTACCTGTTTCTTTTTCTCATCCTCTTTCTTCCCTTTCCTTCCTCCTCCTGTTTTTCATCTTTATTTCATTCTTTTCCTTCACCCTTGATTTATCCATCCTTCTCATTTTTCTAGCCATGAGGAACCAAGGCCAGTTGCATACATTGCCCTCAAGAAAATGAACACTATTGATCTGAAGCTTCAACCTGTCCTATATAGTTTAAAACATATGCTTAGTGTAAAATATGAAGAGTAAATGCCAATTAATATTGATTACTTCAAAGGAAGTGAACAAAAGGAGCAGGAACTATATTTTCCCCAATAGATATATTTATAGCAACATGAAACCTCTCTGTGGATATGGAGCAGTGAGAGACAGTAGCAACATTATTTATCAAATTGATCTGAAGCTTCTGTACACCACAGTTACCCAGGAAGCTTTCTTTTTCTTTTTTTTTATTTTACAATATAATTTAGTTCTACATATCAGCCACAGATTCCCTTGTTCTCCCCCCTCCTCTTCCCCCCAGCCCACCACCGATTTCCACCTCCTCCAGGGCAAAGCCTCCCCCAAGGATTGAGATCAACCTGGTAGACTCAGTCCAGGCAGGTCCAGTCCCCTCCTCCCAGGCTGAGCTAAGCGTCCCTGCATAAGACCCAGGTTTCAAACAGCCAACTCATGCACTGAGCACAGGACCCGGTCCCACTGCCATGGAATCGAATTGAAGACCCTGACATTAATCCGCACACCTATGAACATATAATTTTTGACAAAGAAGCCAAAAGTGTACAATGGAAAAAAGAAAGCATCTTCAACAAATGGTGCTGGCATAACTGGATATCAACGTGTAGAAGGCTGCAAATAGATCCATTATCTGTCACTGTGCACAAACTTAAGTCCAAGTGGATCAAGGATCTCAACATAAATCCAGCTACTCTGAACCTGCTAGAAGAGAAAGTAGGAAGTAGTCTTGAACGCATTGGCATAGGAGGTCACTTCCTAAATATAACACCAGTAGCTCAGACACAGAGAGAAACAATCAATCAATGGGACCTCTTGAAACTGAGAAGCTTTTGTAGAACAAAGGATACAGTCAACAAGGCAAAGTGACAGCCTACAGAATGGGAAAAGGTCTTCACCAAGCCCACATCTGACAGAGGACTCATATCCAGAATATATAAGGAACTCAAGAAATTAGACATCAAAATGCCCAACAGTCCAATTAAGAAATGGGCTATAGAACTAAACAGAGAATTCTCAACAGAGGAAACTCAAATGGCTGAAAGACATTTAAGGAATTACTCAACATCCCTAATTATCAGGGAAATGCAAATCAAAACAACTCTGAGATACCACCTTATGCCTGTCAGAATGGCTAAGATCAAAAACACTGAAGACACCTTATGCTGGAGAGGATGTGGAGCTAGGGGAACTCTCCTCCACTGCTGGTAGGAATGCAAGCTTGTACAACCACTTTGGAAATCAATATGGCGCTTTCTTAGAAAATTGGGAATCAATCTCCCCCAAGATCCAGCTATACTACTCTTGATCTGTTTGGGCTTTCTATTTTTGATTTGTTTCTTTTCTAAAGTGAGAGATAAAGACAGTGGATGGGTGGTGAGGTGGGGAGAATCTGGGAAGAGATGGAGAAGGGGAAACCAAGATCAGAACATATTGTGTAAGTTTTCAAGAAAAAAAGGAAAATATCCAAGACATATTAAATTTTAAAAAGCAAGTCTTGAAAAAAAGAGTAATGTCCTGGGAAATACTGTCGTCAAATGGCAAAGCACACTTTCCCCAGACACCCCACTGAAAGAGGAAAAGGACATCCCCCTCCCATTTTCCTTGTCCCTACTGATATCTTTTCCATTTCCTGACCCTCCAAGCACAGTGTGTAACATGACCACTCCTGAAACCCTTGCTCATTGGATCAATCCAGGAACATTCTTATCTAATTTGAATTTTACCCTCAGTCATGAAACATTAGACCTTTACCAAGTCCCTTTGAGAAACATTAGCTCTACTCCATCTGCATCACCCACAGAGAAAGTATTAGAGAGGGTGGTTCACCCATTCCTGTCTATACCAGGTGAAGCCACCCTGACCCAATACAAGATGAGCCTCAGCTTTCCACTGGTTCATACTATTGAATGAGAGCCCAAGGTGACATTAGGTGTATTTTTTTCCTTTTTTTTTTTTTCATTTTTCTTTATTAAGAAATTTTCTACTTACTTCACATACCACCCACAGATCCCCCTCCTCCCTCTTTCCACCTCCCTAACCCTCTCTCCCAAGCCACCCCACATCCCCACATTCCCCAAATCAAGGTCTCCCATGAGGAGTCAGCAGAGTCCAGCACACTGAGCCTTAGATGTATTTTAAATTCTGTGGTTGTGTTTACATTGAAGACCTAGATATATTAGTATTATCCTACATAGGAAAAATAGTCTTAAGCTTCTCTGTAGACTTAGATATAAAGCAAAATAATTAGCAACCAGTATATACAATTGGACAGAATTATGGAATTCCCACAGTACCTTCTACTTGCATTGGTGTTGTTTCTGCAGAAGGTCCTTCAGGGACGGGAGGTCCTTCCACATCCCGAGGGGCAAAAGATTGCTTCCGACAAATTTCCCTTAAGAATGCAGGAACTGGGAATGCATTATAACAGGGAGTCATGTCAGCCTCATGACAGAAAAACAGAGGAAACTAACAACTGCTGTGTGTTTGTCCATTTGATCTGATTGCCTGTTTCCAGGTACAGTCATCAGAGTGAGAATGGAGCTTCAGGAAGTTCACTGAATACAGTTTATAATCCATTAAGCAATACATGAACTGTGTAGGTAAAGTCTAAATTTATGACAACGTGACAATAGAGAATACTGGAAAGAGCCATATATAACAAAAGCCTAAGTGAAAAATGCCCGCCGCATCTCCCCATGCAGTGTCTGTCTCCCATTCTCAGAATCACTGATCTGACTAGAAGCACGTGGACTTTCTAACCTTTCATGGTTGTGTATGTCTGTAGGTAGATGAAAAGCAATGACCAGGGTTTTGCCCTCTGTGGTAGTCACTACAGGGTCTTGATCTCTGCAGTTTTGACCTCCTGAAGGCAAATGATGGGAAGCTGGAACTTAGGGATTATCAAGTCCTTGGGCTACAAAATGTCCCTTGATCTGTATGGAGAGCCTCATCACTTACCTCTATGCCCTGGTTTATTCTTCAGTAGAGTAGCACACAAATAAATGTACCGCATGTAATGGGATTTGAACACATATACTGTAGGTAAAGTGTGTATCCTAATTTGTTAATTCAGTAGTTTGTCACAAGAGATTTGACTGGGTAATTAGGATTATCTATCTTTGGGAAAAACAGATTTAGACATAGCCTGGTACAGAACATCCCAAACAATCTAAAGAGATCATATCTGAATCCAGTGACGGTAGATAATTCCAGTTTTGTTTTAAATTTGAGTACTATTTTTTTAAAAAAACAAAATCTAAGCTCTTCCCTATAGGTGGATTAGATCACAGTGGTGCATTAGACATAGGGATATCCAGTAATTATACAATATATTTCTAAAATATGTCTTAACAAAGGGATTTCATAATACATACTGCGTTTTCTAGACTCCACCTGAAATTTAAAGGAAAGAAAACAGTTTGAGGCACAGGTCATGCTGAATTCTGTTTACATGGGTCTTTGGAACACATGTCAACATGGTATGATGCCAATCAAAATGAGCAAGAGTCCTATGTACTAGTGTATTATGTGACAATGTCACAGAAGAACTGGGACTCTATAGTTTGTGACAGTTCCCACTTTTGCTGGTTCAAAGGCCAGATTAAGAAACACTATTTGTTTGGTCTCTACTGAATGTTCCCTAAGCCACACCACATCTTTATAACATGACTGTGAGATAATTCCTCCTACAGCTGGGCCTCAATTATTTACACTAATCCTCATGCTGTCTTACCATTCAACATCCCCACACTGAAATTGAGAAACTTTTTCTACAATTGCTTCCGTGGAACATAATCAAACTGCATCAAGATTTTAGGAACCAGAAGTGGCTGTCAACTTCTGAGTGAAAATGATACAGGCATCTAAAGAGGAACCTTTTCTTCAGGAGAAACCATCCTCTCATACAAACTGTGATAAATGACACTACAAACATTTGTTTAGTTCAATCAGGAGCAAGCTGGTACAATTCCATTTCCTTTTCTCCCTGAGCTAACCCACAATGTACCTAGCTTTTGTTAATCAAATTTCATATCCACAAGGTAAGGAGACAAAGCAACTTTTTATATTAGAGAAAGGAAAGGAAATCTTACCTCCACCATCATCACTGGTGGCACTCTCTGTTCTCTTGAGGAAGATGCAATGTCAGCATTTTTATGTACCACTAAAAGGACAGAAAGTAACTTGTCAACACATGATATTGCTTTTAATTATTCCAGGGATCCTTGCTTGATGTGTATAGAAGTCCATGTAGCTAGCATATGTGACTTGATTTAATTTTTTATCCAATCCACTCCTCCTCTGTCTCTGTTCAGAAAGTGGCAGGCCTCCTACAGGTATCAACAAAGCATGGCACACCAAGTTGCCATGGGACTAAGCACTTCTCCTTGTATCAAGGCTGGTCAAGGCAATCCAGTATGAGGAATGGAATCTTAAGAGCCAGCCAAAGTGTTAAGCATGGTTTGCTTTTTGCTCATTCCCAGACTGTGGATTATATTGCTGGCAAACAAATTATGGCAAAGAGAAGAACTGAAGAGAAATGAGGAACAGAACTTTTGGTTTTCTAGACAATGGAAATCTAAATCAATGTGAAAGAATCTTTCACTGCATGAAAGTAAATAAATCTTTCAAAATATGCACTGCATTTATTCTGGTTAGAAGAAACCATGGATGTGTCTCTGTGTGCAGGTGGAATATAGAGGGGCTCTTTAAGGGTCTGGTTTTCTCCTTTCACCATGTGAGTTCTGGGATTCAACTGCAGTCAGAAGGCTTGGCTGAAAAAGTCATAATGCACTGATCCAACCTATCTTTTCTTTTTTTTTTTTACTTTTTTTTTTCATTTTTCTTTATCAAGAAATTTTCCCTACACCAAGGCTGAGCACCATGTCTCAGCATAGGCCCGAGGCTCCAAAAAGCCAGCTCATGCACCAAGGACAGGTCCCGGCTCTACTGCCTGGGGGCCTCCCAAACAGTTCAAGCTAATCAACTGTCTCACTTATCCAGAGGGCCTGGGGCTCCTCAGCCATTGGTTCACAGTTCATGTGTTTCCTTTAGTTTGGCTATTTGTCCCTGTGCTTTTTCCAATCATGGTCTCAATATCTCTCGCTCATACAATCCCTCCTCTCTCTCGCCGATTGGAAATCCCAGAAATCCACCTGGGGCTTGGCTGTAGATCTCTGCATCCACTTCCATCAGACACTGGATGAGAGTTCTATCATGACAGTTAGGGTGTTTGGCCATCTGATCACCAGAGCAGGTCAGCTCAGGCACTCTCTGGACCATTGCCAGTAGTCTACAGTGGAGGTATCTTTGTGGATTTCTGGGGACCTCTCTAGCACTCTGCTGCTTCTTTTTCCCCTGGGGTCTTCATTCATCATGGTATCTCCCTCTCTGTTCTCCCACTCTGCTCCTGATCCAGCTGGGACCTCCCACTCCCCTAAGCTCTCTTTCCCTGGACCCTTGCCCTCCATTACCCCACCCCCACCCCCAGTTTGCTCATGTAGATCTCATCCATTTCTCTGTCGTTGGGCGATCCCTGTGTCTTTCTTAGGGTCCTGTTTACTAGGTAGCCTCCCTGGAGTTGTGAGTTACAGTCTGGTTATCCTTTGCTTTACATCTAGTATCCACTTATGAGTAAGTACATACCATATTTGTCTTTCTGAGTCTGGGTTACCTCACTCAGGATGATTTTTTCTAGATCCATCCATTTGCCTGCAAACCTCATGATGTCATTGTTTTTCTCTGCTGAGTAGTATTCCATTGTGTATATGTACCACATTTTATTTATCCATTCTTCAGTTGCTCAGCCTTGGTATAGGGAGGAGGGGACTGGATCTGCCTCAGCTGAGTCTACCAGGCTGGACTGAGTCCCCAGGGGAGACCTTGCCTTGGAGGAGGTGAGAATGGGGGGCGGATTGGGGGAAAGGGCTGGGGGGTGGGAGGAGGGAGGACAGGGGAATCCATGGCTGATATGTGAAATTAAGTTAATTATAAAATAAAAATATTAAAAAATGAAATTTTCTACTTAATCTACATGGCACCCACAGATCCCACCTCGTCCCTCCTCCCACCCCCAGCCCTCCCTCCCATGCCACCCTACATCCCCACATCCCCCAAATCAAGGTCACCCATGGGGAGTCAGCATAGCCTGGCACACTTAGCCTAGGCAGGTCCAAGCCCCTTCCCACTGCACCAAGGCTGTGCAAGGCATCATGCCACAGGCACCGGATTCTTTGGGATTCATCCCTAGTACATGGGCAGGCTTTTGGGAATCTGGTGCCTGTGTTGTGACACCAACCTATCTTTCCTAATAAAAGAAGCTTTATGATTAAGTGACAGAATACTGTCACTTCCTGTTTAAAGCAGGGAACAATTGATACTTCCTGAGGCATATGTCTTAAGTCTATTTCAACCTCCACCAATTACATATGTTAATTCAGAATTTGTCATTAATTATGATCCATGCTAATTTATCCATTTTACTTGGGAAATTTTACTAGGATGAGCATATCTAAGAAAATTCTTGCCTATGTTGTGTGCACATTATTTCCCAAAGTATAGCATATCATATATTATATTTTGTTATACCATGCTGAGTATTGTCAGTATTCTACAGGGTTTTAAGGAGCATGAAGAACATGTATGTGTTATAGCCCTATAAGACACAGTGTAATATAAGGGCTTGATTAGTTTCAGATATTGGTGCTAAGGACAATGGGAAAAATTCTAAGGAAATACTGAGACAACTGCACATAATAACACATCTCTATAAGCCATGACCTGTAGCATGAATCTTAAAAGTTCTTATTAATAAAATCAAACCTGAGCCAGGTATTGGGGTGAATACTGGAAAATCAGAGAGACAGAACAAGCCACAGCTAACCTCACCTGGCCAACTTCTCAGATGATCTTGTTTCCTCAGACTGGAAGCCTATGTGTCCTCATCCAGAATGGGTCTCAGCTGAACTGCTACTCAAAAGCCTGAATGCTTAACCAGGCCAAATGCTTAACCAACCCAAATACTTCTAGTTCCTGGTCCTCACGCCTTATATATCTTTCTGCCTTCTACCCTCACTCCCTGGGATTAAAGGCTGCTTTCTAGGATTAAAGGTGTGAGTCACCATGCTTGGCTGTATCCTTGAACACATAGATTTCTGCCTAGCTCTGCCTCCCAAGTACTGGGATTAAAGGCGTGTACCACCACTGCCTATCCTCTATGTTTAATATTGTGACTGTTCTGTCTCTGACCCCAGATAAGTTTATTAGGGTGCACAATATTTCAGGGAACACAATACCACCACATTTCCCCTTTTTTTCTAAAATTAAAAAAAGATTATAACTAATACAAGAAAAATTATATCCAATAAGTATATACAATATACACAGTCAAGATTACATTAACGATGTCTAGTCCATTAACATTAGACAGATTCAGACAAAAAATCCCATTATATATATAACAAGGTCCAGTCCAGTAACATTTGATAAACTCAGACAAAAAATTTTCATTACTTATCTTATTTAAAACAAGTAGCAGCTTTTTAAAAGTATTTTTCTTTTTAGTGTAGATTCAGTGATCTACCTTTTGTCATTTTTATATCTTCCCCTTTTTCTTTATAGTAGATTCAGTGATCTACCCATTTATCCTATTATTTCTTTATCTTTTTTTAAACAAAAACTCTGAATCTAGTTTCCTTGTTCAGCTTTTTTCCTGACCATTAACAATTAACAACTTGTAACCAACCATCATAATCAATGACAATATCCATAACTCAAACGACCAAAAACCTCCCATCCCACCTCTTGGGAATGTGGGTGTCATTTTCCTAAAATTACTTTCTGCTTTCTAGGGGTGAAGACATATTTAGGGAATCCTGAAAAGAAAATTTTGGGGGTTAATTGTCAAGTCCTGTATCATTTATCCAGTCTCTGTGTAATAGGAAATTTTAGGGCTTGTCACAAGTCCTCGTTTGAGTAGTCTGTCAGGCTGGATTATCTCAGCTAGTCATCTCGAAATTGTCCTGACCAGTTTGCAGTCCAAAGTCGATCTTTCCTTGGTGTTAATCAGCTTAATGGTTTTATCATAGTCCATGTGGAATCATTGTTGTGGAATTCTGTCATCTTTTTGAAGATTTCAAAGTTGCTGTTAGGCGTGGTCATGGTTTCCTGCAGATTTTTTTTTGTGCCTCCTCTGTGGTTTGGAGCAATCACAGTCTGATAAATGTCTGTCTCTTGGAACCACGAATGTTCTTCCCTAGAAGAGAATATCTTCACAGCAATTTCTCCCCACCATTTGTCTTGCCAAATTTTTCCAAACTGACCTTTGCAGATGCTTTCTTGTAACATGATGGTCCTGGCAATTCTTCTCTGGACAAACAGCGGTAAACCCTTTGACCCAGGAAGCAGCATCATTGCAGTCACCAACACGATGAGAAGCAGCCTGCAACTCGGAGCAGCAGTCGTCCTGCTGCCACCGTTTGTGGCTGGGCCCTGGCCAAAGCTTCTCCTTAGCAAGTCTCCTAGGCTGCCTTCAAACTCAGGATCTTCCTGCCTCTGCCTTCTTCAGTAAATCCTATGGGCATGCATCACCACACCTGGCTTAGTGTAGCTTGGGTCAGAACTGGGGCCTACAAGGCCACAGGCAAGCAGCTTTTTCATGAATTTGTACCGCGAATGTTGGGGCAAGAATTCATTAAAAACTGCTTGGCTTGGCTTGGCTTGGCTTGGCAGTGGGTCCGGTTTCCTGCCTAGGCAGCCCAGCTCCCTAGCTCGGGCCTGGCTCCCTAGCTTGGGCCCAGCTCGGCTTAGGTCTCAAGCCCTACTGACTTTAGCTATAAGCCATTAATTACCACAGCTGGAGCTACTTGCTTAAAGCCAGTGCTACAAACAACTCAGGCCTGCCCTGCAGGAAATACCACTAATTGCAGTGGTCTGAGCTTAAGGAAGCTGGAGCCCAGGCTTGGCTCAAGTGGGAACATGTGGCTGGATTAAAGCTTTTAGCCAGAACTTGTGGCTACGCTTTCTTGCTTGCTTCTCTCTCTCTCTCTTTCTCTCTCTCTCTCTCTCTCTCTCTCTCTCTCTCTCTCTCTCTCTCTCTCTCTTTGGATTCACACCTCAGAGACTAGGTAGCTGTTTTGAAATTCCCTTGGATTTCTACTGTTCTAC